AATTGTAAACACTCGAAGAAACAACCATTTGATAGTATCCTCGAAATATCCATTTTTTTTTTTTCTAAAGGAATTAGAATTAATTTTGATGATTCACACTTTATGTCTTACGGTAACATTTTCTGAGGGAATTACTTGGCCATTTCTTAACGAAACATACAAAATGCAAACTGCAAACAATGCAGGCTTTGGCTTAAACTTTTGTGTATAATTGTCTATGACCTCCTCTAATTGTGAAATACTCTTTCACAAACTGCTTACAGTATTGCAAAACGACATGTCATTTCAATTGGGTTGAGGTTTGCTTAGCTAACAGAGTCCACCGTCCCTATCGCTCCCATCCGTAACAAAGTGTTCGAGGGAGAGACGGGGCTAGCATAATCACTCAAATGAGCATTGCGACGGGAGCCTGAAATGCTTGTGCGTGTTCATTCGGTGTACGCAACCCGTACATAACTATCTGCGAATATTAAGTGTACATATACGTGACTGCTTGTGAATGTATGGACGTTTTTGTGCACGTGAATGTTTGTGAATAACGTGTACTTCAACACATTATGCGCAGCATAGCACAGCCATAGAACTCGTTTACATGAGAGCAGAAGCAGCGATTTGTTTAGAGGACAGATTATTGAGAGGTGAAATAGGAAGAGGGAATGGCGGTGATGGTGAAATGAAATGGGAATAATACGTCCTCGGTAGACTTAACTACAAACTGATAGTACAGACACATACATAGATGACATACGTGCAAATATATGCACGTGCATAGCGATAACTGTTCCAAGCAGCGAGAATGTCACCATAAGGTTTTGCATTGTTTATAGAATTTGTCTTTTATTGTGACTTTTTTGTATAGGTGTATATGTAGAGAGATAGGTATATATGTTTGTTTGTGTTCATATGTATATATGTGATGTATATGTGTGTTTGTATATATATATATATCAATGTAAAGAGGAAGAACCAATGAAATGATCTGCAGGACGGAATAAACGTTGGTAATTAGATACGGATCTGAGAGGACGAGAACTGGAGGAAAGGGTTGCATACCGCGGAGAGAGCGGAAGTACTGGAAGAGATGGCATTTAGCGGATATATACCAACATTCAAGGAACGACACTCGTTTGGTACGTCTTTTGTTTCATATCTTTCTGACATGAAACATTGTTTCTTTTTAATGAGTGATATGAATTGCTTGAAAGATGACGTTGTGATGATTTCGTTCATTAAGCACTGATAAATATCACTAATCACAAGATTAGTTTCTTTCTTCTAAGCCCAATGTTTTGTTTATTTATATCCAAAAAAGTCCGTGTCTCCATACTGCTACCAATGTAAGAGTTAGTGTTATCTCTTCTGATCAACAGTTATAAATGCTGTAAGATATCTCATAATATTTTGGGACTTTTGTCACAATTTCTGTTGTTTATGAAACATTGGTTAACAACATAAATGGGATAGCTTTGATGTGAGAATACATGAAATGTTTGAACGAGAAGGCATTGCAGTTATTCTCTCAGTTTGTTTGTAATACATACACTTCCGCCTGTACTGAAAGGATGGATTGCAAAGTAATGGATATGAATAGCACTAAAATTATTTTTCTCCGAAACAGGTTGGGTTATTTATCATTCGCACATTGTGCATTTCTCTTCTATTCCGTTTACATTCCCTTCTATTCTGGAAGTACTTTTTATTCGAATTAGGTGATGCCCGTTATCGAATAGTTTCGTTGAAATACACCGGATGAGAAAGGAAAAAGGAGAGGATGGAACTAGGGAAGAAGAAGAAAACACGAGGATATTGTATTTGGTTGATAATGTGAAGTTTTGTGCTATTTTTTTTTAGTGCATCTTCTTTTTGCAACGTTTTTCTTTTTTTACCGTTTGCAAAGTGAAAATTGTGCGCTTTTCTAGTGAATTTTCAACATATTTAATAGTGTAGTGAGAATAGTGAGATTACGTGACAAGCACTTCCTTGCTGTTTTTGCAACGGATATTACCGAGAATGGATAGAAAACAATTGATAGTCGAGATAAAATATGAAGAATAGGGCGTTGAGATGACTTCAATTTACATATTTGATTGATGGGAATAGAACCATTGGCATGTGAATATTGTGCGAATGAATGATACCAAATTGTCGGTTTGATATTTGTTTTTATTTTGAAAAACAAAAATATCTGTATTCCATTAGTTATCCAATCAGCAATCGTTGCTGGAAATGAATGACCGTTTAAGGTGTTATTTCATTGCTTTCTTCATTTAAACGTAAAATCCACCAAAAAGGCATCAAAAAACTTTTTCTCTTAAAACAGTAAAATTTGGTAATTTCCAAAAAGTTTGAAATTAGCGAGAATGCATCTGTTGCCCTTTAAAATTTATTTGATGCACTGTTAGGATAGCAAAGTAAGCTTATTAATTTTGGGTTAATTATCTGAAATTTCTAAATTAATATGATATAAAGTAGTCGCTGAGCAAAAGTCGAACTGTTTCTTACAATTTCAGCAGCACGTGCAAAAGATGCAGCAGAAGCACGACAACAGCAACCGAATAAGATTCCTGTTGTGATCGAGAGATTTGAAGGGGAGAAGTACTTGCCATTGTTGGATCGGTGCAAATTTCTTGTGCCAGATCATATAACAGTTGCCGGATTGATGCAAATTGTGCGAAGGTTTGTCGTTTTACAATTTATTACTTTTTATTATGTACAATTTCGTTCTTTTTTCTGCTGTTGATTCGACGCTGAAAATTCATATCTGCAGAAATAAATCACAAGCATTAATAAAGTATGACTCGATAAGTTTTATGTTCATTTGCTTTTTTTTTTCTCAGTCCCTGCGAGTTCCGTCAATATAGGCTCTTCTTGCATTATTATTATTATTATTATTATTATTATTTTTTTGATGCCTACTTTTTGTTATGAAGAGCAAAGAAAGAATGAACTTCTCAGTACTCTAGAATGCATATCATAATTTACTGAAATGTGAAATGAAACATAGTGCTTATAAATTGTTTTGTGAATGTTTTTTTTAATTCGAAATAGATTGAAAATCTTTTGAGGCGACTACAGCTTCATCCGGATCAAACTTTCTTCCTCCTGGTCAATGAGAAATCGATGGTTTCAAACAGTATGAATATGCATCAACTCTACCAGCAAGAAGCAGACCAGGATGGCTTTCTATACATGGTTTACACCAGCCAACCAGCGTTTGGTAGCATCAAATGAACTAAATATCTACGTGTTCGTTACCTCTGCAAAATTTTTGAAATTTTCTTCCATTTATTTCTGCTCTGATACTCAACAAGATTTAATACGTTTGTACACAAAATACAGTCCTGTACAAAAAAGAAAAAAACACTCAATAAAAATTTTATTATCATTCAGCATTATTATATAAATGCATGTTACTTTTTATTCCTAACTTTATTGTCTTTTGTAACATAATCCCCCTTTCTATGTATTCGAAATTTGGCTTTTTTTGACTTCCTTACCATCGTGATGTATTGTTTTGCGTTAATTCATGAATTAAAGAATCACTGTATGAAATAATTCTTTTCCTTATTCTATAATGTGTTGTGGACATTATCAGTAAGCCAGAGGAATAGTTTTCTTGAACGAATTATTATTAGAACTTGAAACTTGTTTTAAAAATTACTCATTAAATGTTCACATTGAAAAATTCTTTTTATAATGCCTCTTATTTTTATGGTATGCTTTGGAAAAGAGAATTTTATATCTTACACTGAAGGTAAATGAGGTGATTGGGGTATGCTAACGGATGCAAGAGAACAAGTGGTGAGCGAAAATTCTTAAGCAGTAGGATCCGACAGTTGTACACCTTATAAATTGGTAAAAGAACCGTAAAGTTCCATTTAGTGATTTGTTGCTTCCATATACTTCCGATTTGTCGCTTCCGTAAGTTGTTTTTTGACACTGTATGAGCTACTTTCGACAGTTGAACCTGTCTAAAATAGGACATACATTATTGTACATAAAAGACTGTTGTACTGAATATTTCACACACCGGAACCATCTGTTCCTCCATATGAAAAAGTAGGAAGTGGCCAATACAACGTTATATCATTAAAAGCAAACAGTAATTTGAAACCATTGATTGCTGCCTTTTGTCTTGTTAAACGAAAGTTACTAGCTGTATAGGTGTCTCCAGGAGTGTTGTATGGGTTATATGATTCTTTTTTTTTTTGCAGTATTTACGATCTATTTATCGTCAATGCATTGCTTTCAAAACATCTCAAATTTCCTAGGCTCTGTGATTTTTCATGTATGATCCATCTCAAAAGTCATTGATTTGATGAGAGGGATTTTTTTAGATAGACACAGTGTTTGACAAAAAACACTCGAAAAGCAGTAGTAATAGTAATAATATTAATAATAACAATAATAGCAATAATAATAATGACAATAATAATAATAATAATAATAATAGTAATAATAATAATAATAATAATAATAATAATAATAATAATAATAATAATACGTAGTAATAATAGTAGCAATAGTAATGGAGAAGTACTGCAGTAATGGCCATCGGTGACCAGTTTTGACATAATATTTAGTGAGGATAGTACATGTTTATTTATCTATTTGATCAAAAAGTGACCAAAGGCAACAGCAGCAGATCAGTCCGTTAATAGACTATCCATCGATAGAAGCTAAACGAGCACTACTCACTCCTACCTTTCCTTCCTCCTTTCCCTGTCTTTCAACCAAAATACAAATTTTACGGCAAGCAAGCCGTATTCAATTCATCATTACAGCTTTTTTAATCCATCTATTCCTCATTATTATTCGAAGTTTTTGCCAACAAAAATTTCTAATTTGATCACTGATCCCTTGTTTTATTATTCAAAATAAATTGGTGGTGAAGCTACCAATTGTTTCATTAGTATTGTTGATTAACAGTTATCATGCTGGGCATATTACTCTCTGTTTCTTTATTTTATCAATTACCTGACCTCTACACTGCATTACCAATGTTCACGAATGATTTTATGAGGAATTACGTTGAGGCTGACCGACAGAAAGTATTATTTGATGGTATGAGAATTTAGAAATTCAAAATGAAAAAAAAGAAAAATTAGAAATAAATCAAGTTATATTATTATATTAACTAAAAAAAACCTCTTGCAGAGAGAAGAGTCTAGAATTAAGACCATTATAAAGATGAGATGTGTGGAAAATATAAGAATTTGAAAATGTTCGTGAATCAATTCTTTTATGATAGTTATTAATCTCAATGGATCTTAATTAGATATGAAGTAGAATTTGATTTCTTCATTCATAATTATCTTACTGAAATTTGCACTGATGATCGTAAAACTTCAGATTTGGGACAAAAATACTTACAACCACAGGATTTTGCTCTCGCCAAGATCACTCCTGGTATGTTCCTGTTAAATAAATTTCAGCTAAAAAAATAACAAATTACTTTTCAAAACTTGAAAAAAAAAAGGTTTATTATTTATTGTCTCTTTTGAATTATTTACCAATCTTTACCTAATTCTTCCGCACTGCCTAATTTCTTTTGCCATATAAGATCAAATCAATTGCAACGTATATGACCTTGCATCCATTTAATACTAAATAATCCGGTTGTGTAATTCTGTTGATATCTGCTGTAATTTTGATACAGTCCAGTGTAACTTAGTAGAACAGATGAACCTTTGTGTAAATTTCTCACTCACAATCATAATTTCCTAGTCTCATCCAACGTAAAGTATTTTTTGAGTTTTCATAACTCTTTTGAGTCTTTCTCTTGGCAAAAATGCAGTAGTGCATTTCATGAATTTAGCTTTTTTTTTTTTTTTTTTTTTTTTTCTAATTAGAAATTTGTCTCGTTGAATTAAAAATTCACTCATGACTTACCTATAGCAGACTAAATACAACAACACTGTATCACTTGTTATTTACTTTTATGAATTCCATAAATATGAGTGAGTTAGTTAAATTCAACAATATGCCGGATCAGAAACTAGTTTATTCTTGTTTTGTGTATGAAATTTTAATCAAATTTCGAGAAGAGAAAAAAATTTCAGTGGAGAATGTCAGCGAGGAACAGTTAAGTTCCATTATCAATTCGCAACTTTTTGAGGGTGACATTTTGGGAGTCGATCTGCCGACAGCAATATCAACGTTGATTTTGAAAGATGAATTATTGAATCAATATGATCATCTATTCAAACTCCCTGTATGTTTTTTTCTTATCTATGAGTGATTTGATAATTTTTGATAATAGAATTCTATTTGAAGCTTACTTTTGTAGTATCATAGCGCATTAAATTTGGACACATACAAAGGTAGGATATGGCCAAATGGACAAGTACCATATTTGTTGGAAGATGGAATGTCTGAAAAGTGAGTTTTTTTTATTGTTTTTTTTTTTTTATAAAACAAATGTTACCAGTTTTAAATTATGAACTACATATAAAACTGTGCAAATATAAATTGTATATTGTCGACTCTTTTTTTTTTTTTTTTTTAAATGATGTATTTCGAAGCTATCCAGAGGTTTATAGAATATATTAAACCTTCTTCATAACCAGAAAACTCTCTCTCATTTTATTCCTTCATTTGTGTATCAAATACCATTGGCCAATACATGACTTTGTCTAGTTTATCCATCTGTTTATTTAATTATTGAAAGGAAAGTAGATGAACGGAATAAATTTGCAGGCAAAGAGTAACTATTGCACAAGCATTCGATGAATTCAGAGAAAAAACTTGCATAAAATTTATACCAAAAACTGATAATGATATCGATTATATTATTATCCAAAGAAATAAAAAAGATGGGTTGGTTGTCCCCATCATTTTTTCATCAAATACCATTAATTAATATATGATCTTGTTTACTTTATTCTTATCTAAATTATTGGTTTTACTTGAAATATGAACATATCTTTAGAAATATTCGATTAGACATTTGATTCATCCTTAACGAGAATTACCATTACCTTCTGCATGTATTAGTATATCAGTTGTGAATGAAAGTCTAATCTTCTTAATACTAGAAAATAATTTAGCTGTTCGTCACATGTTGGACGAGCTGGTGGCAATCAGACGGTATCCTTAGAAGTTGATAAATGTTTTAAAAAAGGAATCATTGCCCATGAGTTAATGCACGTAATTGGATTCCTTCACGAGCATTCACGTTCCGATCGCGATGCATATATAGATATTATTGTGGAAAACATTCATCCCGGTACTCAGTAAACTTAAGCTTGGGTCTCTCTCCCTTTTTCTTTCTTTCTCCATGATAATGTTAAACTGAATATTCTGGAGGAAATAATCAAGGCAAACCTATTTTAAATTTTATTTTTTAGTTTAAAAAGAATCGGATGTAAAATTTACAGTCTTCTCTCAACATAATTTCCTTAATTGAACAAGCTTGTATTTTGGAAACAATTTAAAAATCTTTACTGAATTCTAGGGATGCTACGAAATTTTGAAAAATATCCAGAAAAAGTTGTTGATCTGTTGGGGTTGCCTTACGATTATGGTTCGATAATGCACTACCACAAGCTTGCATTTTCTAAGAATGGCCAATCAACTATTTTACCTAAAGTAAGTAATTCATTTTTCTATGCTAGGAAGCTCATCATAATATGAGGATAATAATAATGGTCGGCCAAATTTGAAGTAAAACATATACATTTTAAGAAGTAGGCTGAAAAAGTGTTACTATTTGTTAATTGTCTAAGACCGAACATTTTGAAATATCCTAAAGATGAAATTACATAAGAAAGTTAATAATTAACACTTTTGAATGCTTTTAAATACTTAAACAAATGTTACAGTTTTGTCATTATCGAAATCAGTCAAACTAAATGACCCAATCATACTTTTTATATCCAAAATGTTTCCCAAAGGAAATGCAAAAAAAGAACGATTACAGAAGCGAATTTCTAATCAAATTAACTTACTGATTCCTTCACCGAGCGTTGTATGCCAAAAATTTAGAATCAAACTGCGAAAATTGGACAGCGACATGAGCTTAGCCCCATCGATGTCGCAAAGATAAACAAGCTTTATAACTGCAATCCACTACCAGCGACAGTAACGACATCACTACCACCAACAACAGGAACTCCAGTGACATTAACAACATTACTGCCACCAACAACAACAGCTTCTGCTACTTTAATAACCAATGAAACAATCATAACATTATCTCTCAAAAGTAACTGGTCGAGAAACATAATAACACTATTTCCATTTCGCTCATTTCGGACAAAAAGACCCGTAATCACTGAAAAACTTCGAGCTATTAATACTACCGTAAAAGCAAAAACAACGGTAGTGACAGGTATTTAAACCAGATCCCAAGTTGATACAAGCTCGAACTTTCAACAGTTCAATTCAGCATACTTTTGATGTATTTTATTGAGTATCACAAAAAGTATATATTTTATTAATTTAAAAAGACTTATTGAATATTTTATAGAAAAAGTATTTTTTATTTTATAAAAAAAGTACTTTTTTTATTGAGTACTATATAGAACTTGATAGATTTATTAAAATTATTCCCCTGGTCGTTTAGATATAATAAGATTAACAAAATAATTATTGATTGTAATCATTAAAATATTTTTGTAACCAAACTTTTTCATGTCAACTCCATCGAGTCCTCTTCGATGTATGCAATTTTGTCTTTTAAAGACAACTTCTCATTAATCTTTTTAACCTCATTTCCTTTTGCTCTCTAAACTGGCTTAACATAACAAGAAGCATCCTTCATGTTCTTCAGCACTGATTTTTTAAACTGCAGTTTGCGAGGATCTGAATGCACACTGTGAAATGTGGCAACAACTTGGCCATTGCCAATATTCGCCGAAGTATATGGGTCACTACTGCAAAAAAGCATGCGGACTCTGTCCACCAAAAACAAGTAGCATTAAATTTTAGATTCAAGAAAAAATATTAGATAATAAAGAGCAATGTTAATTAACAATACTAAAACATTTCAGTCAAAATTGACTTTCTTAAGTGAAATCCTTTTCAAAACAAGAAAAAAGTGATGTCCAACAATCAATTAATTAGTATTTCAGATAAAAAAAAGTTAAATTGGAAAATCGAATCATCACGATGTGTGGATAAGAATTTATTCTGCAGTTATTGGGCAAGCATCGGAGAATGCAATACAGGAAGTAAATTTATGACGATATTCTGCAAACGATCATGTAATAACTGTGGCAATAAAGTGGGAAATGCTGTCCACGAATAAATGAAATCCAACATCCGGATTAGGTCGTGCAGTATTTCTATTACTTTAATCTATGTACTTCCTAAAACGGGTCTGTTGAATGTATTTGTGAAACTTACTACTGTATAATATATTCATGACAATAACTTATTAATAATATTAAAAATAAACGAGTTTTTTTGTTACATGATGTAGAAATAGAAATAAAAAATATCACTCATGAAGTCTTTCCGGAAGTTTCTTATGTTACCGATTATATCATTGTTAACGCAATATCAAACCAAACAAATAAAGCCTGATTTTTAGCTTGTTTAAAGCTTTCGAAAATTAAAATTATCCTATTTTCCGTATCATTTAAGTATAATCAGTGCTTATCGAAAGTGAAAAACAGCAATTTTATTTGAATAATTTTCTCTAACCTAGCAAAAAGTTATAAAGAAATGGATAAAAAAGAGAGGAGAAAAAAAATAGAAGATAGTTTGAGAGCGAGCATTCAAATAGCGACTTAATATGTAATCAAATTAATGTATTAAATTAATTAATCAAAATAAACTCTTAATTACTAGCATTCAATATATCAAAACTATATTATACATTATTAAAACACTTATTTGCTTCCACTATAACAACTAATAACACTGGTAACACCAATTATTTCTGTGGTGAGAAAATTTCTGTTAAATAAATTTGCATGACATTAAACAGTAAATCGGAAATGAAAATACGACAAAAGCTGATAAAACGTTCACATTTCATTAATGCAATTAGTTAGTCGGCGTGTGGATGGGCGCGAATGCGGGGTGTTAACTAGGGGCGCTTGTAAATATGAACGGGGCTGGGGAGAATTAGAGAGCAGCGTGAAATAGTGTGGCGTTTAAAAGAGAAGTAAGAGAATGATGAGGAAAATAATATACAGTTTTTTTGGTGCCTAGGAATATTAAAAAAAAAGTAGCGAAAAACGATGCGGTGAATGAAGAATAAGTGTAAATTGTATATTAATTAGTGTTGGCTAGTATATTTATGTATTAATTAATCGTAATTAGTATATATGCAAACTTAACGAGTATATATATAATAATTTTTCAAACTTTTTCTCAAAATATTTTATTGTTGAGAAATGGTTAGCCGAATTTATTTTAATGAGACTAGTGTAGAAAAAAAAATGGATAAAGAATGAGAATGAGTAAGAGCAAATCGCATTTTATTATTCTATCCATTGCATAACTTTATCTTACCAATGATTTTTTAGAATTCATTATTACTACTTAATATGAGATATAACATGTAATATATTAGCATGAATGAGAATTAAGTTTGAAGAAATTAAAAATAAATGAGTAAAACTTACAGTCACGTGTTTCAACATGTTATACAAACTGTCTTGATTTCATACTGAAACACTACGAAATGTTACTAAGTATTGAAAATACGAATTCACTTTATGCAAAATTAAGTTAAATGTAAAAGAACAAAAAAAAAAAAAAAAAAAAAGGAAATAAGAACGAAGCTGAAATATGCTACAAGGGAGGAAAAAAAGAAGAGAGAGAGAGAGAGATCCGATTAAAACATTACGTAGTAGTATTTAATGTTTTAAAGCGTTTAAATAACATTAGGTAACATTACGTAGTATTACGCCAAAATGAGATTTTGTAATGTTTAGTCGATAGTTAATAGAATTATTTACAAAGTGTCAACAGAGATGTTCGCTTTCTGTGAGTACATATTAGTATTATAATAACTTAACAATTTGTTACTTTTAGGACTGCTAACAAACTTGGATTCAGTGCTGTCAGTGTCTCATTTATACGCATTTCTTTCAACAAGCATAAGCAATGAACTCAAATTCTAATAATCCGTAATTTTCCACTTGAAATTCTCACTACTCTTTATAAAATAGTCAGTAATATAATGCTATCAATATTAACCTCTTAATACGACTTACACTTTCAAATATATCTTTTCATGGCTGTAATTCCTCAAATGTGTTTATCATAAACTAAAATTTTTTTTGTTTATTTATTTCAGACTTTACTTATTATATAATTTGTCGTCATTAATTACATAATTTACAGATTTCAGTAATTAACATAGACGAATATTAATATAGAAAATATTCTATATTTCAGATTATTGTTAATATTAGGTTAATATCAAATAATATGTTCATTTTAGAAATGCTAATCAGAGAATGCCACCAATGATAGGCTGGAGGGTGGATAATTTCGTAGTGGTATGGGATCCGTTTTTCCTGTATGAATCCCAGTGGTTGGTTTTATTTCGGTGAACTGGATATTGATATAATAAAATGATTAAACTAATGTACAATATGGATGAAAGTGTGTGAGAAATGATTTCGTGCGTTGGAATAAGAACTGTTCAGTTATTCATTCATTCAATAGGTTGTATAATCTCTTATTATGGATTGATTATCAGTTATTTCAGGTAGATTGATTAGGATTCGTTTAGGATTATTTGTTCGTTAGAACGTGGCGTTTATTTAGCAGAAATATTTCTTTTTTTTTTGGTTTGTTCATGCGTTATATCTATAAAATGTGACATGTTCGTACGTTATATCTATAACGTGACGTTTGTTTAACAACAGTATTTGGTTTGTTCATGCGTTATATATATTGTCCTAGATCTCTTCGTTAAAACGTGACATTTATTTAACAGCAGTATTTTTTGCTTTGTTCACACATTATATCTAGTAATCTATCCTACAAAGCCTCAACAATGCACAAACTACCTTAATATATATATGTGTAAAATCCCCAGTTTCGCTTTCTTTTCTGAATTAGGAGTTTTTTTTTTTGTTTTCACGTGAAAGCAATGTGACTTATTGGTATTTGCTGACTTCGGCTAAAAAACAAAGCGCCATTAAATAGTTTTCAACTCTGAAATTTAATACGGATCGCTAATCCTATCCCAAGATATATTGATTAGAATATGAAATGAACTTCAACTGTTTGCTTTGCCTGAACTTTCTCCAAATTCATTTTGATCATTTTGTATTAGATGTGACTTCTACATTAACGATGAGACTATTTTGTTTGAGCTAAACCTGCTCATGACTTATGACTCCATGGAAAGGTATGTCTGCGAAATGTGCACCAAAATGTATGCCTTAGAAATTTGTTTGTGAGAATTATTTGAAATTTTCGTAAAACCAATAAACAATCATTTTCAAACAACTTCTGAATAGAAATATCCTAAAAGTTCATGCTCTTATTAAGTTCTTCGAGTTTTACTGAACCCACTTATTATAGAATAACATGTTTAACTGGTATCAGAAAAAATAAATACATCGCTATCTTCAGCATACCTGTAGCGAGAGGACCGAATAATAGATTTATGCAGGCCAACAATTGTAGAAATAAAGGTTTGTTTCTTTTTCTTTTTTTTTTTTTTTTTTTGCATTTAAATGATTTACAGTGCTGCTTACTTAATTTTGTAAAGATCTTTTCATAGTGAAATTATATACTGAGAAAAAGCTGACTTGTTGCTCTGACAATCTCATATAGCTATCTTTTTCTCATCTTTCTGTTGCTACCTTGATTCCGATTAATCTTTTTTATCTTATCTGCTATCTGTCTTATGCAAATGACGATGATATCTACCACTCTCTATTAAGTTGATACTGCCCTAGCTGATAACTGGATTTCAAATATATTATGCATATTTCCATTTGCAGAAAATACTGATGACGAATGGATAGATATGGATTTGGTTATGGAAGAGGTACGAATCTTCAGAACGAAAAATTTTTGGTGTCCAAATCTGCGCTTCGAGGTTCATGGAACTTCACTTCCTTTGCTCAAGATTTGTTCTTTTATATTTGTTTTCTTATTATACACATTTTTTTCTGTTATAATTGCTAGATTATACTGTAGGATATTGCATTCTTTGATTAGATCTAGCGCATTCAAATATTTCACATTATTTGTCAGGCGCTTCATTTCCTGTTTTTTCAAATATTAGATTGTTCAAATATTCAACATAATTAACTTATGGTAAGTCTACGGTAAATCGATCTCCATTCTCGGAAAGCACGTCAAACCGAGATATCAAACTTCTCTGGTTTTAGACATAAAAGTTTTTAGACAACTGAGAAAAATTTTCCTTGCAAAATAGCTTCTAATGAAAATTCGTACTATAGAAACTTTTTTTTTTCAAATAAAAATCATATTTTTTTAGTACTCTACTTGTACACAAAACCACATGGATATTGGTGAGATTAAAAATGTTTCTAGTATAACGGTGGTCGTGTTTGATACGAGTGGTCTGCTTCGCGATACGGCTTTACTACCTCTTTGCATCGAGAGTACATTTTATTTCCTTATTTGAGCTTCTGTTATGATATTTTTAATTCTAGGAAAAACAAGTTGTACTGAATTCTTACTTATAGTCTATTACAGTTGTGTTAAATGTCTTATGACACAATGCGACCGCATTTATGACTTTGCAAGTATTCAATAAAATAAATGCTTATCACTTTACAATTTTATTGCAGAATTGTACCATGTACTCATTCCATACACAGTTCTGAAAGAGCTGGATGGGCTGAAGAGAACTGTAAGTTTCTCAAGTTATCGAACTGAAGCTAGTTAAAATAAAGTTCAATTATCCAAGATTACAAAGACTACATGTCTGTATTTACTATCATTATTCCTGTAAAGACATGAAAAGTGATCTGTAGTGTTGGACAATTTATTTCCATTCTATGGTAGTATATTCTAATTCAGACTATAGGAGTTGGACTACTATTAACTGGCCAACATTCCAAAAACTTTTAAGATTTGTACTTTATGAATTCCATCTTGCTCAATTGTTCCTGTTACATTGTAATGACTCATCCATTTGTTCAGTTTCATATTTCAAAAAAAAGTTCTTTTTTTTTCAATAATTTTACAGGATTACGAAAAATTGCGAGTGAAAGTAATTAAAATAAATAGAATGTTACATGAGTATTCAAAAAGTGGATGTGGTTATTTGCATATCGAAAATGTGTTTGAGGTATTTTTCAAATAAAAAAGCTTCAGTTATGAGTTGACTTGATCATTTCTCATTCTTAACGTAATTTCCATTGTTTTGGAAGTGAACGGATATTAGCACTTCATTTGATCAGGTTTTCCATTTACACACACTTTTTTGAGGCTTCCTTCGGTGTAAAAGAATTTGGGTGTCAAAACAATGATGATGTCATTCTGAAATGCGCATTTGTTACTACCATTAAATGTTTGTTACCTTTATTTTTCTCCATTTTTTCTTTATAATATAAATTCACTTCTTCATTAAGGTCCACTTTAATGCATTTATTTAATTTGATTTCGTTATCATCTTATTCTCAGAACTTTTTCATAGCAACTTCATCAGCTTCGTTTAGTTTCTTACTTTTTATGAGTCAACTCATTACGATGATCAAATTTCGACTACTATTATTATTAAACATTACCATTTTTTCGTTAATTATTTTCGTGCAAAATGGACGGTGTGTTTGCTTGTCATTTTTTTTCTCATTAATATAGAGATGAGTTTTTAGACAAGAACGGGAAGGTAATATTTGTTACAAATGATAGAAATCTTGCAATGAAAGCGGTGGCACATAATATTGTAGCAGTTGATCGAGCCGTATGTTTTTGCATATTATATAACTTGACTTTAAACAGTTCTTAGTCGTTTTTTTCGGTCACAGTGTTTTTAAAAAATAATATTTTATATATGTGTGCCATAGTTTATTACGTATATATTAAGATTATTTATTGTTTGTTTTGTTTGAAGAATTATTTGACTGTTTAATATCTTCTCTAACAATGAGATTATAGGGTTAAATATAGTTGAGGATCAGTCTTCTTTCAAATGATCTGCATTAATTATATTTTCAGGAATTAATTAAATTTGTGATGGATGATATACTGAACGACAGAAAAATACTGTCGGCAGAAAGCTCTGCACAACAAAAGCCACATAAAGTCCCATATACCGCACCTGTCAAACATTCCTATCCAAAAATAAGGGGCAACGGACGAGTTGTGTCCAACGAGACTGCGCATTGCTCATCGCCAAGATTTGAACCAATGATATTCATCCGTCCACCTCCTGTACGGCATATTTTTATGCAGAATAATCAATTTCCAGCCCCATTCCCAAACAGATTTCCCATACCTTCATGGAACGTACCTACACATCACTTTCTACAAATGTTTGCTCCATATTCATTTCAGATACTCCATGACATGGTAAGTAGTTTCAATTCATTTCAATATCGAATCTAATTAACTGATGTACGATAGATCATTCTAGTTTTATTGTAAATTTAGTCGTTACTTGTTTTAAATTAAATAGGCGATCTTTTAATGAGTGGCAAACTTGAAATGAAGTGAGTAGCATTTCGATGCTTTCTCTTAATAATGATAATAGATTGTATAAGCTGCAGAAACTTCATAGGTCTCTGAAAATAAATTCTGGAGAAATAATTTAATTGTTAGTTCCTTGTTTCCATTACAGACCATATTGCTCCCATCTACTAACACCTAACAGGTTTCACTTTTTTTATTGACAGAATAGTCAGTTTGCTGTAATCATGTGGTTTGTCTGATCTTTCTGCAGTGTTCTCATTTTTAATTTTTCTTTTCTTTTTTATTCCTATTTTGGATAATTTTGTAATAAATTAGTGCGAACCTGCATCCAATACTGTGATTATGTAGCTTAATTTGCCCAGAAAGTTGTAGCGGAGATTGTTTGAGATGAACTTTGTAATAGTTAGATCACAGTAATGAAATGAAATGAAATAGATGGATGATATAGGTAAACTTCACACAATATTTTACTGATTACTTTTAATACAATGGCTTTTATCCTAATAAATGTATCCACATCAACTCTTCAGGTCAAACTGAAATATTTACACATGTTTCCTCAAAGTCGTAATGAATTAAAAGTAGGCATTAAATGTTTATATTAATTATTCTCTGACTTTATGGAAATCAGAATGTTTTAAACTTAGATTAAACTGTTACGCAGTTTTTGTTAAACTCAGTTTATTAACTTTTAAGTAAATTGATTAGAAACCAGGCAAAAATGTTAAAATTGAATTTATGACTTATTCTTATTTCCTTAACATGTGCAGTTAAAATTACGAATTCTTTCACTTTCGCTTTGATGTATTGAGTTACTCGGAAAAACTCTTCTTTTTTCAGCAATGTTTGAGCAAAAATGGCTTTATTAATGGTTCCAATTTCGGAAAATAAGATGAACAAATATGAAATGGATATGCATACTCCACGAGAAAAATTTTAATAACTTCATTTTAACCTTGTATTTTTGTCTGGAGTATTCTTAATTTTTGTTTGAAAGCTTTCTCTTATGATTGAATCGTTATTGCTGTTTAAAGTACCGGCCATGTATTATAATTGGATTTTTGTTCAAATTTTGTGTTTAAAATTGATTAAATCAAATTCCCAATACCATATCGTAAGAATTCATCATTTCCCACATGTACTGTTGTTACCCTATGTGTTCTCACGTTTATTTCTTCCATTCGTTATTTCCTTCTCTCTAGAGCTCTTCGTTTAAGAAGTTACGGTACTGAATTTGAAGTCATTTGAATCACTTGTTTCCTTATTTCTCTATATACAGGTGATATATTCCATGTTGATCTCTTCACTTTCGGTTTTTAGTTGAAACATTTTGCTTTATAAATTGGCGTTCGTTTTTTTCAGCCCCTGGATTTACATCTGTAAATTTTACGAAGCGTCATGCTATCATTGAGACAGTTCAGCCATACAGTTCACAAATTTTTTAGATACCGATTTTTTGGGACCGACTGCCGATTGTGATCATAATCGATCGTAGTTCATTTGGGATTAGATTGTTACTAAAAATTTCCATATAAAAACAATGCAAAATCAATTCCAGAAACATTTTTCCAAATCTAAGTTAAATGAGCAAGTAAAATTGACTGTTTATGGAAGTAAAGTGCCCTACAAGCAATGCAGAAAATGTATAATTTGAAGGAAAGAGTATGTGTAGACTAAAAACTCGATATAAAATACATTTTTCATTCTTGAAGACACGTTTGAACAGTGGCTTCAGAAGTGTTAGTCATGTTTTCTGGAAACTGTAAACGAAAGCGGCATGGCCACATCACATCTGTTATCTATTTGCCTCCTTGCTTTAACTCTATATATTTTCTAAAGAGGACATCTGTATTAATGAAACAACACTTTTCAAATCTTTTCTGTATCCTGTAGCAGGTGAATATATCGTCAATTATCTCAAATCCAACTTTTCAATATAGTAAAATTCAGCTTAACTAATTCATCATATAAAATGGTTCACATCTATCAAAAAATGAAGTTAGCGTATAAAAAATTTTTAGATATTTCAATCTCAAATATATAAAAAACACAGTTAATTTCAAATAATACCAATAGAATTACCTTCCTTATTTGATAATTTTAACACTTTTTAATCGAAATCTTTCTGAGGGGACATTATTAAAAATTTTCGAAAATTGTCTGAAGTTCCAAATAAAACGAAATAAAATCAAATAAGTGTTCAAAGAAATCTTTATTCTACAATTTTGTGATAAGCATTATAATACACAGTATACAAAATTCATTATATATAATCCCAATATGGTGCTGAGAGATAATCCGATCAGTAGATATAAAGCAAATAATCCAAATTAGATCGTACTATGACGAGCTGTGATGCAGCGCATATGTCCATTATATATATATACGTTCCCATCCACAATGAATAAAATATATCTTCTCATATCTAACATATAAAGAAGACTTAAACATAAAACTTTTTTTTTTTTGTTTTTTGTAAACTAATTTTGTTGTTATTCAGTTAATATCTGTTCATTTCTTTTTTACTCATACTTCAAAATAAAAATAAAATATTGATTACAGTTGTATTGACTTGTGTTATGCGATAGAATTTTGCTGAATATGATACGTAGTATATTGTCATATCAAGCTTATCATTTGAAAGATTTGAATAATCGACTATTAGATAATAGTACATAATTTTTGTGCGCATTCGGAATTTTAGAACTACTCAAATTGTGATCAATAGTGCTGATGCATTATAGATTTCATAGGTGGGAAACATTCTATAACTTTTGCAAAAAAAAATTGCAAAATTTCATATGATACAGTTGGAGCGAACAAATTTCCGTCCATATTACCGTGTATCTCGTTGGTGTGGCATACGACATCCGGAATACGAAAAGCAGTAAAATTACAACGTGTACATTGGAATGGATGTCGATCGCCTACCTCAGTCATCCACGAAAGGTGCATCCATGCATGAAGTTCGAGAAATTTCTTTAATACCTTAAATGACCTAACAAATTATCATAATGACTGATCTAACAAAAAATTATCATAAAAGCAGATTCATGAGAAATTATTTTCCTAATAACATCAATTTAATAATACTTATTAATTTTAACCTACCTTTGAGTTGCAAATTGAGCAAGTAAGTTCCGGTTCAGTGACACTAATGCTACGTCCCTCAGAACCATAGAAACGGCGAGCAAGTGGCAACAAATAACGATTTGTTGTCAAAGTGTCTACTGTAGTGACGTGTCGATACATTTCCATTCTATCTGCAAAAGATCTACAATGAATAATAAAAACATTGAAAAAGAAGACAACAATTACAAATATCATCTTTTGTAAATATGTTACAATCCCTTATTTTAATAGTACTTGATCTAGTTAAAAAAAATATAGAGAGATTGGGAAGAATAATTACTTTAAAAATATTCATAATTTTTTCAGATCTTTTAAAAAATCATTAATTTAAATCAATAATTTCATTTATACATCTAACATTTATATTACATACTAATGAAACATATACACTGTATGCTGAATAATGGAGCCTTTTACCTGTACTTTCGTTCGAAGTTGCGATCTTTTTACGCTTTAAGCTAGCATAATCTTCATTTTCGGTAAAACTCATATCTGAGTCGCATGATGAATCCGTTAAAATTCGCTTCTTCGAACTGATGTCACTTTCAAGGAATAGATGATTGGAATGATTGAGATCATTTCCACTTTCTTCTGATTCGCTTTTGCTGCTATCCGTAAATTCTTCAAAATTTCTAAATGGAAAGCGTTCACCCATCTGAAATAATTGATTTATCATTATTTTGATATTTTACGACTATATGTATTTCTATTCTATTCATAGTAAGTACAAAAAGGATATCGAACGATTGTCACAGTGACTCTCGAATAAATCAATTGATAGCCACTAAAAAAACTAGAATTTAGAGAAATCTTTCACTTATAGTTTAGCTGAGTGGATATAAGTGATAACGCTATTAATGCAGTCTATTTTTAACTTCTGCATCACTTTTTAATCATTTTTAATTCGTCGAATAACTCTTAACTATAATTTAGTTGAAATATGTAGCCTAAATGAGAATTCAGATGAAGGTACTGTAATATATGAGCTGATTAGCAAATTTAGTAAATGTTAACTTCAGTATTTAAAAAATTTTCACTCAACAAACTCTCTAACTAAATAAATGAAAATATAATCTAACAAAAACAAAAAACAAAAGTTATATATCTAAATAGATCAAAACATACGCATCCTTACACTTACGTTAATTGCTTCCTTAAAATTTATTCCTTTCGAAAATATAGAGCAAATCACGTAACCAACCGCTCCGTAACTGATCGAAATACATAAGCTAAATATTTTTGGATATAGTCATCTTTAATACGACAATCTCATACGCAAGGATATTCAAATTACATTACACGTCAAAGATATAGCACTGATTTATTGATTTCTCATTCCCTCAACGAGAAGCTCGCTGTCTCATTTTAGGATTGCGATTGTAGTCTGTTAACGTCCACTGTAGTACGCCGATCAACTAAGCAGTGCACGTATGTTACTACGTTGGCCTTACCGTATTTGCGATAGGTTGGTGTACTGTGGAGTGCACATATGTTACTACTTTGGCCTTATCAAATTAGTGATAAGTTGAGGAGTATACATATTCATATCTGTGAACTGTTCATCTTCAAAGCTGAAAATACTGTTGCTTGATTAATTCCCGCGAAAAAAAGACAACCAATCGGCTGTCACCCACATGAGCATAAGTGTTTCTCTTTTCTTTTTATTTCTCTTTCCATTGTCTTTGATGATGTTCGGTTCCTAAAAGGAATTTAGAAAAATAACATTTCTTCTGACATATTATCAGTCATTTGCTTATTGTCCAGCTTATTATATCCATATTGTCCAACTTTTTATATCCATATTTTTTGTCTAATAAAATGGCTTATACATAAGTCATCTTTATCAGTTTGGTTATCTAATAAAGATGAAACTTCGCTAACAGTGGACGTCATGAATCATTGAATTGCATCCAACAAGATTTAGGAGAAAAAAAAAAAAAAATGGATTTATAGGACGATGATGTGCCTATGTTGAGGGGGCGGTTGTAGAATTTTTCTAAACTAGCAAGGAGAGAAAAAGAGGAATAGTGTGGGGAAACACAGCGAGAAACGCCTTTATGACACCAGGACATTAGGCTGTGATGACAGTAATGAGGAGAACTAGAAATCTTGAGTCAGAATAAATCTGGAATTTCACATGTGCAATGACGAAATACTTTACATGTACAATAAGTAAGTGGGAAAGTTTTCAATTTCTAAGTAAAGTTGCGATATCTCCAAAATTTGTTTTGGATTATTCCATTTTTTTTCGACGATATTATAAACGTTCGTGTCATTTTGGTGAATTGAAAGTATTTGAAATGGAGAACGACTGTGTTATAATCTACAAAAGTGGACAAAGAAATGAATCATCTATTCAAGTAATTAAAATATTCACATTATCTCCTTTATCTTGTGTTGGAAATAAGTTGTACATTGCAAGGAATAGTTCAGCACACCTAATCACCTTTTTTGTAAATGATATGAGTGTTCAATTCAGTTCACATTTACTGCACTAGAAATCATACATTGAAGAAACAGCTATACAGTTTGGATGACTTGAGAAATTGGAAGCTTTTACAGTTCAAACAATTTTTTAATTTCTTAAACCGGTCCTGTCTTCCTTTTTTTTTCTTGGATGCTTTTCTTAACTAATTCACTTTTATATCAAAATGGAGAAGGAAGTTAATGAAGAACGGAAGGAAGAAACTGGCAGTAAAACGGAAGGGGAATGATGCAATCATCGCTGTCGTTTTACAACAGCGATGACTGCATCATTGTCTACGAAAACATTTAAGACACAATTCATTGTTATTCCTGACCCTTAGACTTTACTAATTTTCAAAAATGACTTTATTTTATTATGATGAAGCTCTACTGTACTTTCTACTGGTTTCTGAATACATTCTCATTTGAAAAGAAGGTTATCTTTATAGACTTCTGTTGACAAAGGAAACAAAGTGCAAAAAAAGAATCTGCAAGAGAATGAAGCATATTTCAATCAGAGTTAGCATCATTCGTTAAAGTTATGAAGTGTATCATTTAATGTATATATCATAAAAAAACTTTTCATGTAATGGAAGAAACAATGCAACTTCTTTTGGGAATGTCATTCAGTAGATGATTTCTAAAAAGAAATGTAATAATGGTTCTCACTTTAATAATTTAGGACTAATTCCTCATATTATTAAATAAATTTTACTTAAAAAAATATCCTGGGAATTATTCCGGTTTTTTTTTGCTTCCGATTTGATGAATCAGTGGTCATATAATTGGAAGAAATTACCAATGAGAAGTGTTCGAAAATTGTCTTAATTTTCGCGAAGCACAGCCTTCTAAATAGTAATCAGTGATACTAAATCAGTGACAAAAAAAATGCGTTTTTTTGCAGCAATTGGTTTTGTTGTTGCTTTTGCCATTATTATTATTATTACTATTATTGTTATCACTAGTAGCATTGTTATTATTTTATTATTATTGCCAGTGTTACTATATTATAGCTTTTATTTCTTGCTTCGTGTTTCGTTCGAATTCAGAATTGGTTAACAAAAAAAAAGAGCTAATTCCATTATGGAAGCACATAAATTAGACGAAAAATTCATCCACATCATGAAAGTAAAACATGAACTCACGAAAAAAATCTAAAAAAAGATATATGAGTAAATTAAAATCCAGCAATACAACCTTCACTTCCAGTGCTAGAATTTCCATAACGAATTAAGTTGAATTTTAACCATTTCAATTTAAAATTAAGATACGTTGCAACAGTTTTGTAATTTCCATGTTCATGGGACTTTTCATTGCTTGTTTAAACACATTTCTAATTCAATTTTTGGTAACAGAAGTGGATAAGCTGTGTTAAAAACAAAACGGCCCGTATTTCTGAAAGTTCCATGTAAGCCATAAAATCTCATATTGATCATTAAAGACCAAATAATTCAATAATTTAAACCACCGCAATTGTAATCAGTCAAAGAAATAACTAGGAGGATTTAGCACACTTAATACTCAATGTGTTATGACAGGTGTCGTTGCACGATATTTTCAAAACAGCATTCGCAACATCAAAGAATAGTCCTGTAAATTCTTTTGGTGTAAGACAAATGAAAATTTACCTAATTCTCCCATATAACTTTGTTTATTTGCTTGAAATGTCGAACTACTTGATCTTTGCAGATGAATAAAAAAAATTCCTACCCAAATCTTTTTATGAGGGGAAATTTTAATTTAAAGATAGAAGCACATATATGGAGAAAAAGAAATTAGGTGATTTGACAGTACAAAGAGAACAAGAACATAAAACATGTTGCTACAAAAACCACTAATACAGAAATATCCGTGCTTTTTCATACTATTATCATATAATCACTGTTATTTGTATTTTAGTCCAAAATAAATGATTGGAGAAATTTTTTAAAAAAAGATACAAGAATAAAGATAATTAAAGCACAGCATACAAAACAGGATCAAAATAATCGAAAGAAATGAAAGGTATCTGACCAAAAAAAAAATATCACATTTCTGCAAAATGACAAAAAAAAGTAAAAATGACAAAAAAGCACAGTTCTTGTGACTAATTAACTGAAGAAAGCATTTTATATTTTGGTTTGAAATAAAACAATTGTTGCGATTCTGCTTTATGCCTGTTTACTAATGAAATTCAACTAAAAATACTAAATTAATGAACAAAGATGAAAATAAAAGTAGAAGTAAAGTATTTATACGAACGAGGAAAAAAAGGAAGAAATGGAAAGAAATACAAAGGAATATAAATAAGTGCGATAATTACAGGTGAATAATAATATAACATGACATAACGTGACTATACTCTCACGATTAACAGATAACTTATATGCTACAAGAGAGACAAGAAGTAAAAACGATAGCGAGTGATGACATAAAATTTGAAGCTATTTTTGAAATCAGAAAATACTGGAAAACACTTGGAAGTAATTTAACAGTGATCTTACAAGCAAACAAATGAACAAATCAAAAAAATAAAAACTGTTCCAATTAACAAGGCAGAAAGGTTGAACAAAAATAATGAATGCGATCAATTGACAAACACAGAGACTGTGCTAGACGAGATCACATAATGTATGCTTGAAATCCGAATAACATACAACTGATACATTGTAATGATGAAATGAAAGCTACTGAATACATATAAATTTAATGAGAGGAATAAGAAAACTGTTTACAGACAACAACAATACAAATAAATCAGAGAAACAAGCATAAAAAAAAGTAATAATTCATTTTATTTGTTTTTAAAAAACAAACTATTTAAGTTACATTAAAAACAGACTGATATTTAAGGAGGACATGAAGTAACTGATCCAGAGGATGAACACATGCCTTCTGACGAGCAGCTGTGACAACAATACAATGATGTTTGGTCGACTCGATTCACCGTTTGCCCAACACAAACATAATGATACCATTGTGAACAACCTGCTTCACACTGAATCCAACGAATGTGATCACCTATGAACATTTTAGTGCAAAATTATAAAAAGAAACAAAACACGAGATACTTCATTAATTCTCATTCTTAAACCATTTTTGAATTACTAGCTTGATTTAAGTCACTTTTCTACGAAATAATTCATGAAAAAAACCAAATTCAATGTTTCAGAACTGATCATAATTTAATGCTAAATATAATAGGAACATCACAGCGACTAACTGTAAGGTTTTAGACAAGTGGTAGCAGAGCAGACGTCTTGTTCTTGATGAAAATCATTCTTTGAACGTTTCCGATGTGTCATAAATTTGCTGCTTCCTAATACACTTCGCTTCAGACCTCGACGCCTTTTACTACCATTACTGTCAGGGAACAAAACGCTTGGAATTTGTGTCGAAATCGATCGTGTTTTAATCTGCTCATAAATCGCTTTATCCCTTTCAGTAGGTGGCTTCACTCGAATGAGTGCATTAGTGATCAATTTCCACGCTTCCAAATTCATTATCTCGTTACAGAAAACCGCAATCAGAGACTCATCAACACTGAAGAAAAAACAAATAAACAATTATCTGTTCATTTATTTCATAAAGACGTAAGGACAATATTTTAAGTTTAATAATAAAACATTCAACGTATCTTCAACTATAGTCCAAATATATTGTAGGCGTAAATGTTTATATTCTAGAATTCCTAATTATTCCAATCTTGCTATACCAATTGGGAACTACAAGTTTTGAGATGTTGACGAAGAATTTCAAAACAGACATACCTTTTACATAGTTCAGCATCAAGAGGAATATCAAGAGGTGGTAGTTTGCCAATAACATCCAAAGCTTCCGTATACGCCATTTCAGCATGCTTCAAAGCGGTTTCAACCAACATACGTTCCAAAGATGGTAAAGCAGTTCCACATGCATCTTTTACGTCTTCCACAAAAGGACGACGACTACGTAAACATCGTACACAAAGATAATAGCCTACTGGAAGCTGTGACATGAAGGGATTCCACTGCACGCAATTTGCTGAAAAAATTTTTTATACATTGAATTACAAATATTAATTGATGGAGCAAGAAAAAAACATGGAAGAAAATCAAAGTTTAAGTGAATTATTAAAGTCTATTTGGTAATGTAGAGTAGTACATAACAAGTAGACATGATAATATGCAATCTAACTGGATCCTTGTTATAGAAAGAGAACTTATTCCAGTTTACAACACTTTTATAACCAACCAAAATAATCTTGATCTTCTGATATTATAACTTTCCAGATAGCATTTTCTTTTGTCCTTCAGACATCTAATTGTAGCAGAAGTCCCGAAGATTGGAATGTCTAGTCATATTATGTTTAATCAGAAGATAAATGAAGAGAAACTAATTAACATGACTCAGCTTAATAGTTGTTTCAAAAAAAGAGGATAACTACAATATTTTGAATGGTACTATGAGAAACACTTGACGAAAATATGAATTTAAACTTGGTCAAATTAATTTCACAAATGTACAGTGATATTTGGCGTGACAAAGAAGACAACGAATAACAGAATCTTCTTCCTTCGTGCTACCACACAAACACATTTCGTCAATGAAGCGGGCTTCATTCGACTTTCTTAGAGTTACAATTAATCTGCGCTGTTGTTCATAAAGTGAATTGATATGATGCGTCTGAAATCCAATCAAATTTTCTGAGAAGAAAGACACAAAAAAGAAGTAATAAAGTACTGCTTTAAAGTTGTTTTTCATCCATTTCAATTCATTTTTCTAAAGTTAAAAGACTCACAAGCTGTTCAACGGATTCGAAATTTTCAATATATGCCCAATTGTCACGCAGTGAAAGTGGATCCACCAGGATAAGTGGTGTTGCAACACCTTCGATTAATTCCGTTAAATCGTCTCGACCGTTCAATATCTTAAATAGAAACGATGATTTCTAAAATTCCTAAAATCGTCTGATAAACTTAAATGGTTTTTTTTTCTTTTTTAATAAAATAATTTTAGAAAAAAAAAACACCTCGACAATGCTGTAATAGGATGGAGATAGCGCAAACATATGACCAACACGTCGGCAAAAACACTGAACGCAATCATAGAGTCTTTCTATATCTGAATCCATTATTGAATTTCTCAAAATGAAGGATTTCCCGATTTTAAAAAGCAAATCGCTCAAAGATTTCAGCGTATAACTTTTGTTTCCTAAAAATTTATAACAACATGAGATTGAAAGACATGAAAATCAACTGATTTGGATAGATGATATTCTTCAGAATGATAACCGCAATATCGTAAAAAAATTCCAATTACCTCGAAACATACCAGACTGTATCAATATCAAATGACAAAACAACTTTAGATCGGATTATATCTAATGAATATGGATGAAATCTAGAGCTCGCTATTAACTTCTAGAATAACTATTACTGTAAAGTACAAAAATAGATATACCATCTACCTCTCAAACGTCGAGCAGTGTCGTAAACAGTTCGAGCGAACTTATATTCATTTCTAAACTTATCGGTATATTCTTCTGTCATCCAATCGGAGACTTCCAAAACTGCTCGCACTTTCTCAGCCTCTTCCACTCCGATTCCTTCGTTTTTTTTATCGCGCAAGAAAGCTTGCACCTTCACAAAAAATCATTTTATGAAAATGAATAAATAATATATTTTAGTGATAATGGAGCACTGTTATCATTCAAAAGTTTTAATTCATAGAAAAGCTGAGTTTTCAACCTAAATGGATAGTAAAAAGAAATAAATTCCTTAAATTTGACCAAATATATTTTCATTATCTCCGAATGCAGCCACGGACATAAACATCTGTACTTGAAGATAGAGAAAACTTTTCTGCTGTCTTAAGAAACAAACCACAACATACTGGGCTAGTTAATTCAATAAGATTGTAGAAATTATAAAACGAACTACGTATTCATTCTGGTGTCCAATTTTCAACATCACATTCAAAGCATCAATTTCAATCTGAAATTTGACATCGTCATTAGCGATGGATCGTCCCTTTTCGATTAATTCCATCAACTCGCTAAGTCTCCATCTTCCTTTTGCCTGATCAAGTCCAACTATATTTTGATTCCCCGTTTTGCTATCTGATTTATTTTCGGGTGTCCAAGCCAATATTTTATGTGCACATTGTAGCCAGTGGCACTTATCTACCATCTAAAATTAAAAATAATAAATAAACAATAAGGTTTATATCCAATTAATGTTCTTTCGACCAACAAAATTATTCTCTTCCTTTGTCGGTGAAGTCTTTGCCAATAAGAAGAGACCCACTCTTTCCAGATCATCGATCTCCGCCAAATTAACATTGAAATCATCAGCTTCTTCAATCAATTTGTTCGCCAAATCAATATAATAATCGTATTTGTCAGTGTAATCTATTGCATCTATCAAAAATTGCGAACAACGCTTACGCCAATCCTCCAAACGCTGCACATAATTCTATAAAAAGACCGTTTAACACACTGACATTTTCAAAATTCTAATAGATCTATAGCTTTTGGCTTGTCTCTGAAACGATTTACTAGTTTTTGTGAGCGAAAACGAACCCTAGACTTTTTCAAACGATAAGTTGACAACAATACTAAATTTTCGTTCACAGCAATCGTTAAATCAAGGTAATTTTCCTAACAAAAGAATGCACATATACAACCTTAACGATGAATTCTAAATTAAGTATAGTGCATGGCAATTCCTCGATCGATTGTTCTAGTTTCTCGATGTCTTTAATATCGGCCGGACATTCATTTGCATGCTTCCGCAAGTTATTCCTAAACAATAACAGCATATATCTCAAAAAGCTGGACGTGAACTTCAAGAAAAAAAAAAAAATAGAAACAAACAGAGTATTCGACAAAGTCGTGAGGTAAATTTAGCAAATTATCAGGTTCGGAATCAAACATCAGAAGAAAAAACTCTGGAGCAAAATTATGTTTTCGATTTAGCTGAATATGAGCAAAAATCATATTATGCAATTTGTAGACAAACAATTGTACGTTATCAACTATCAGACCTTGTTCGTATGCGACGACTCATCAGTGCACGCGCACTCTGCATGATGTTCTCAGAACGTTTTATAATATTCATGGCTTCATCAGTAGCATCACATTGTGGGAAACACCGCGCTTTCGAAACACTAACCAAAATACGCAAATCATCTAGTGCTGAATAATGAATCAATGGGTTTACCTTGATAAATCTCATTTAAGCACTTTAACTTTTCAATATTTAAATTATTCTGTTCACAATTAAATCATATAAAAAGCATTGAATTATATAGTTGATTTGAGGAATTCATACACAACAAAAATTAAATGGATCATAAAAATTTAGACATTTGCTGTGATTATGATGAATTTAATGAACGAAAACATACTCGGCTTAACAGCATGACTTTTTGCACTGATCGCAGATAAAAGTTTGGATTTCCAGGTAGAATAGTCACAAATCCCATAAGACAACATGTTGTACATGTAATTTAGTTCTTGAGCAGTATAACGATAACTGTAAATTATTATTAATTTATCAGGTACAATGATACGAAAGTTGATCATTGCACAAAACATGAGATACTAGAGTTTTTCATTCTAAAACGGAACATTTAAAGTAGCATTAAACTGAGATATATTTCGACCATTTTTTGGCAAATTTATTTGAAGAGTTATCAATTTCAGTTTGAAAGTTATTAAAAAACACAGTGAAATAGAATTTATATCTCTAAATTTTTATTTAATTTTCAAAGGCTTACTTGAAAGTAAGATCGGCTGTATGACACAAAGAACAAATACGATCGGCATGCTCTAAACATACAAGCCTTTTGTGCTTGCAGATGATTGATGACATGAATAAGGTAGTCTTGCAAACAATACAAACGCGAAAATCATCAGGAATATGCTCATATTCAACACGTGCTGATCTGCATATTAATAATTATTACTTCAAGAACTTTTTTTTTTTTTAATAAAATTTCAAATTGTATGTAAAAACAACAGTATCAATTTTCTGGTAGAAACATTAAGTTATTCAAATATAGCGTATCTTCTAAATATTACACAATACGCATAAATTATATACAGATTTCCTTCTAAAGGTTTATCCATATCTTCAATTCATTACACTTATGATTCAAATGAATTTGAGATATGACATCAATAAACCAATATATGAATATGTGGTATTAAAATGAAAATTTCAGGCCTACTAAAAATATTCTGAACACTCTTCTTGTACTCTGGTATCTTAAACCAATATAGTTCCTATAAGACAATGCATGAATTTCTTAAGACGTAGCTCTCACTTGCAAACATAATAAACTTACTGAGTAATGCCTTTACCAGTGACAGTGTCTCGAAGATGCTTTTCTCGCACAATAATTTCGTATAATTCTTCATGTACAGCTATACCAACATTAGTACTCAGCTTGGTAGCACATTTCGCCATTTTTACCATTAATTCTTCGTGGGAAAAAACACAATTGCGATGAACACGAGCATATTCCAAGATACAAAAACGACCTTTGCGCAGCTGCAAACATTTGCTCGCAATCTATGTCAAGTATTAAAATATAACATATTAATAAAGCAAAAGTGAAAAAAAAAAGAATGAAATTTTACAACGACAAAGCCTATAACTTTCAACTCAAGTATTTACCCAAGTTTCATTTCTTGACATAAAGAGTACTTGCTTTTAGTTAGGTTTTGGCTCTGCGTGACTCATTCTAATGATTAGTTTTGAAAGACTGATCGTCAAAACATAGAATTATTCCAAACGAAAGGATATGCAGCATGTCATTATTTTCCACTAAACAGCAACAAAGATTTGATTATTTCATCGCTACCTATCCAATACAAACAAACCATTAATGTTTTGCTTTTTTTTTTTTCAGTTCTTATCGTATTCATATAAAGAATACGTTAACTAATAATAAATCAAATAGATATAAATTTTACCCAATCTGCGGGTGCAAAATTTACAGCTTCCGCAAAATTCAGTCCCTCATTATAACCAGTATGATAGGAACGTGGAAATGTTATCACAAATTCACCTGGTTCCTGATGAACTGTATAAACGTGAATACCCTAAAAAATTACTGTTAAAATTTTATGAAATAAAGAATCATGAACCAGATCAGATCAAGAAAAACTATATTCTTATGTCATTTTATGCTGCTATCTGAAGTTCCTGAAGGAAAAGAAATAAGCACTACTAAAAATTGCACGTCCCACCTTATTCATAAGAATTTTAGGGTTCATTGTCGTTGTCATGTGATGCAAAACATCGGGTTGACGTTCAAACAAGTATGGGACAAGTTCCATCATAACTCTGTCGAATTTCTCACCCTCATCGCCAGAAACGCCATACCAAATTTTTCGCTCACCCCTGAAATAAAAAATAATAAAATACAGTAAAAATAAAAAATATATACTTACAATCCTTGGTCAAGCTCGAAAACAATTGAGGCTGTTTAAAGCTAACGAAGTCACAGGAATGTAAACATATACTAAAAATAATGTTATAAAGTCATTATGTTATAAAATTAAAAAAATATCAAACCAGTGCAAATAGTTGACACTATAGGTCCAATGATCCTCCGTATGCCAACAAAAAGCACTCAGACACATACCCACATAAACCCACGGTTCCATCATACCTAAACAATTAGACAGAACAATTAGTGCATATAATCTTAGGGAAAAAAATAGCAATTTAACACGGCCCTCAAATCCAGAAAAGGAAAAAATAGAAAATACCGGATATCCCAGTTTCCATGTGGCTCAAAACGGAATCTTTTAATATCGGTAGATTGTTGAGATTCCATGGATGGTTCGCATAATATTCACGTTCCTTTGGATCCATTTTTCCTCCGAAGTCACGCCCATTCATTGGAAAACCACTACCGACCTTCAAATTTCATTAAATCCAATTTACTGAATTACCTAATGTTGAATAAAAGTAGAAAAAGCATACTTTAGTGACTGCAAGATCTGCACCATATTTCACAACTACAGTGTTTTCGAGATCAATTACATCTTTCCAAAATTCTTGTTCGACTTCTTCAGAAGTGACTTCCTAAAACTGTAATCTTGAGGCACATATTTTGCAAAGGTGATGTTTCAGGCAAGACATAACGTCTTTACTACTTATCTTGATCCTAATGGACAAGGTTTGAGTTAATGTGGAATAAAACACGGTAATTATGTATCCAGAACCAAAAGAAAAAAGAAAAAAAAAATCAAAACGATACTGTCCCATTTTTTGTTTTAATTTCAGAAAAAAACAGTGCAATAACTTGCCAGCGGATCTCTGTGAAAATGGTTTTGCTTCCAATCATTTGCGTATTTAGCAAACGTAAGCAAATTATAACTGGTATGTGCATCGTGAAATGCATAACTTTCCGCAATCTCTTTGACTGAAGTCAACAAACATCGACGACAACGCCATTCAGCTACAATATCATTGAAAATCATTATAAAAACAAAAAAAAAAAAAAAAAAAAAAATGATGAAAGTGGTATTGAAAAAATAAAAGAAGAATTTACTTTTATTTTATTTTATTAATTAATGAATATAGATTTCAGAATACTATCTATAAATAAAAGAGCGAACATCGTGGAACATTTGACAATGCCGGCGAACAGCAATAAGTGTGCAGTGCATAATCACAATCTTCGCACAGCAACAAATAGTCCTCATCGTCACCCTTCTCGCATTTCCTACATACAACTTCATCCATTGGATCCGATGTTCTCGTTTTTTTCTCCTCTGAAAAACTGCTATGAAATTCCATGAAAGATAGTTATTCCAGATCTTATGTAAATAAATTCCACCTCTTTGGCGCTGACCCTTCTTACTGAGTCTTCCATCCATCGCTGAAGATAAAAAAAAGCTTCCTACTCTTGACATTCTGAAACTTATAGAATGCACATTTATCTCGAAGGTCATAAAAAACCTTTCACTTGTCCTGAGACTTACACTGAAATACAATAAAATGTAAGATGAAATTTTGCATCACTAATCGTCACTATTTATAAAATTTCTAATTTGAATAGTTTTTATCCATAAACAGCTTAACTGTTAACCGTCAAAGCAGCTACAAATAGGGAAGTACTACGAAAATATCCTACTTGCATGAAACCGAAGTCCAGCCATTGATTTCGTTCTAGGTTGAGGGATGTGTCCTCCACACTCAACTTGTCCAATTTCAGTATCATTCGTTATGTTGCTGCAACCGTCACTAGTGTTTTCTTCATCGTCTTCATCTTGCTAAAACAAAGGGACAAATTACAAATTGATCTCTACGATAAATACTAATTCACTTATATTTTACGGTAAATATAGAATATTTCAGTACCACAGTATGCATGTAGTTGTAGGTTAAGGATTTCCCTCATTTGTAAAGCGACTGCTACATGCATTTCACGTAAACTCGACCACTACGATGAACGCATGAGAAAAGAATTTATAAATTTCCTAAACTTTATATCACTGGAAAGGAAAATTTCGTAGTGATAGAACGAATTTCTCTTGCTCTTAATGAACAAAACATCATACAGTAAAAAGTTTTTGAAAAGCATCAATCCATCTGAAGTAAAGAGTTTTGATTTTATTTGCACGTTGTTGCTTGAATCCAATTTTTTTAGTTATATAACCCCATCGCTTCTGAGCGTTTATAGTGTCAACTCCTCCTGATTCCATTACAGCCTGCAAATCCAATTTGGAAAACAAATTTTTAAGCAGACCACATATGTTGATTTCAGAGCTAGAAGAAATTTTCTGTATTCTATGCGGAAAGAAAAAGACCCCATTAAAAAGCATTCTTTACTATTAATGCAGCTAAAGAAGCAATCACAATATATCGACAAATATTCTGCACCCCACTTAAACTGAGAGAAAAATGTACATCTAAAAGTACCACAAACCTTATAAAGATCGTAAAAATCGACATATTTGTTATCTATATTTGGAACTTCAAATCTATGCCCCTGCATATGCCAATAACTGGCTAACTGTGCATCGAATATCAATCTTGCTCGCGTCAGTCCATCAATTTGGTTCAACTTTTGAATGCGTGGTGTGAAATCGAATTTCTCACTATCGATGGCGAAAGGTGGTCGAAAGGACTAAAAAACAAAGTAATATAAAGTAATAAAGGGTAATGAAGATGTTTGTTTTAAAAAGTTATTTGCATATTTTAACACCATCCACCTTCCTCTCGTGATAGAATGAAATTGTGAAGAATTATGAAACCGAAAAAATGTGTAGCCAGATCAAAATGCCAGAGTAATACGACTACGAATTTTCCATTAGTTTGGCAAAATAGCGCAAGACGGCAGGGTAATTTCTGAAGTCATCCTACAGAAATTAGCTCCTATAACAATTGTATTTGTTCACTAATTGCTTTACCCCGAATAACTACAGCTTCAGAAGGAAAAGCAAATCAGATCTCAAACTGAAACAAGGCCATGTTTTTCATTAATTCAAAAAGTTTAAGTACCAGCAGAAAAATTAATCTGTCATAGGGAATTCTTCTACAGAAATATAATCTAGAAACTTCATTCACATAAGGGGATGACATCGACGAGAAAGTATCGAAGTACTTCGACAAGATTCAAACAAGAGATGACAGAATTTTTCTAAGTAAACCATATTATTATATTCACCCATCACCATTTTAAACAACTGTAGAATTGAACAGAACAATCTAAGGGCTAACATCTTATAGGCCTTTTTGAAAACAGTCTGACAAACACAGAAAAATATTCATTTTTAATATAAATTAGGTGAAAAAAAAAAAAAAAAAAAAACTTACAGGAGGAGGTTTGACTTTAATCACACCATACTTCTCCGCTTCAGGTTTAATTTTCGCTACATATGCGATTGGATCAGCGAATTCTTCTTCCGTTGGAAAAAATGTTGGTGCAAACGGTGGACGCTCAAATTCGGTATAATATTTGGAATAGTTTTTAAGCATGTTCAGAGGAGTCTGCTTATATAGTTTAGCAAATTTACCATTACCTAAAAATATACTTGTATTGGAACATTGTTATGAAAAGATTGACAAACATAACGTTCAATAGAAAAGGAAACGTCGAAGCAAATGTATTACTTCAAATTAGAGGAATAGGAAAAATCTACGAATTTCAAAAGAAAGATGAGTAAGATACATTGGTAAGATTTCAAATAATGGAAAATATATGAATCAGCAAGGTGCAAAAGATATTATTATATGTAAGATATCATCTCCATCTTCACTAAGATTGCTCTGCTTTATCATCAAGCTAAGCAGTGCAAAATTTTAATGAAGCTTGCATGCATGATACTCTTCTTTTCACAGATCTTACGAATATTTTTGTATTTAATAATCCCTAATAATTCATTAGAATTGACAGAGCAGTTGCAAAAACATCACCTTGATATTAATTTGTAGATAAGTTTGAAGCATCCTGTTAATTTTAAACAAATGTTAAATTTGCTTACAGTTGAAGAAATGCTTCCAAAGATAACAATGGGAAAAAGTTAATATGTGAAGCGAGACCAAAACAAGTTTTTGATTTCTAAAACTAACAAATAAATTACTCACTTAAACCTAACGTTGATCTTCATGCAAACACTTCTATAAAATTACCCGCCATTACGTATAAATGATAAATTGCAAAAAGATCAATCAGGGAAGTTTTTACGAAGATTTTATGTTGACAAACATTTCTCACAGGAAATTCTCGTGCATTTAAAATGAGAAAAATGATTGGTATTTTATAGAAGAAATAAAAATAGGAGAAATCAAATGTCAGCATGAAGAATTGAAAAGTCATAAATAGTAAAAAGAAGAATGAAATGAAGAGATTTATAAATCATTCAATTACAAACAGTTACCATGAAACTAAGAAGAAGAAATAAAGAGAGAATGCCGAATTATAAAAAAAAAAAGAAAAAAAAATGAAAATGAATAGAAAGAATAAAGAAGGATTTATGAAGTATATAGTACATAGATTCAAAGGATGGATCAAAGGATATAAAACGATGAGTAAACAATATCCCATAATCATCCTATATATTTTGTTGAGAATCCTTAATTTAAGAAAGTCTACTGAAAGGTTATTCAGCATTCATATATAAAAGCAAAAACTTGGTACCACTGAGATGAAGAGAAGAACGAAAAGAACAACAGATGTTATTTCCAATGAAATTTATGAAAATATATCGGAGTGCACTGTGAAATTTGAAACCCTCATGCTATTATTTAATTTAAAGTATTTCTTCTCAATGATTTTTCCTCCATTATGGGTGTAAATGAATTATTTGAACTGCTAATAAAATCTCCAGAAATTATCATAACAGTTTAAAGGACTCAAAACAAATCATGTTTTTCTAATTTTTTATTTCCTAAATAAAACTTTAGGTTTTCTAAACGAAAAAAAAAGAAGAAATTTCTGACCTATTATAAAAGAAAATTCTTTATATTCCTCGTAAATGAGGAAAATCTTTCAATCTTTCGTCAAAACAATTAATTAATGAAAAGAAAAAAGCAGAAAGATTGAACATGAAGCATGCAGAAGTATACTAAATTGTTATTTAATTCACGCAAAATTAATACTTAGAGTATAATTAAATGATGATCAAATAAATACAACCAATATCAAAAATGGAGAATATCAAAATGAAGTTATATAAAATATATTTTCTAACAACTGCATACAATGATGTCGAAGTTAAAAATACTTCATTTTAAATCGGATTATCTAGTTATGTAACCGACTGGTCACATATGAAATGAAATAAAGTAAACCATGATTGAAAAACACAAAGAATTTAATAGCAGATACTTGAAGCAGTTTAAGATGAAACTGAAACGGAATTATTAGATGAATACTGGAATCACATTTTAACTAATCAGCAGTTTCTTTTTTTCCCTTTTTTTTGCAAATCGTGCCAAAACCGTTCTGGTGAACTTTTAAAGCTTTTCAGGTGAACTTCAAAAGCTTTCCAGGCGAACTTTGAACTTATGCTTCTTTTTTCTCCTTCTTCTTTACTATGCATTTGGTTTCATTATATCTTAATGTTAATCGAATTATTTACATCAGTAAGATTCATGAGAAATTGTTCGACTTATATTTTCATGTTCATTTAGACGCTTCATTGTTATTATTGCAGTTCAGGTTCGATTAATTTCTAAATCATTAAAGAGAGTATCAAGACTTCAGTACAGTTAACCATACCAGAAATAATTACGATGCCAGTAAGTGATTTATTTTGAATCGCATTAAAATGAAACCTTCTACAATGGATGGAGGAATCATTATTTATTAAATATGGAAGTAAACTTCTAACATCAAACTTTCATTAAAATTGAGCGTATATGTAGAAATTGGAGTAATTTAATCTTTTCGATTCATTATCGTCTATTCTTTTAACATATTTAAAATTCATAAATTCTGTTAATTTTCCGAACTATTCAATACATTTATTTAATATAACGAATTGAGCAAAAAATAATGTAATGGCTTACCAAACACAACATAGTTATTCATGAAAACACATTGATAACCTCTGTTTATAATCCGTTCACTGTGTCCAATTAATTCAACTTATTAATTGAACTATCAAGTGGTTTATATATGTCAGAATCTTGCTTTTCATTGTTCCAAAAACTTTTATATGAAGGAAAAAGAAGAAACTGCAAGAAGAAAGAAGGAATCGATTGTTGACTTATCACGATTTATTGATAAGAAAGTGCGTGTGAAGTTTCAGGGAGGTCGAGAAGGTTAATGTTACATTTAACTTAATGTTATATTTCACTTTCAGCGTTTATGATATACTCTTCGTTTTGTAGCAAGATTGCCCAGCGACATATATGATCGTCCTGAGATTTCTCTTAGATTGAAGAATGTTTATGATGTTTATTCATTATGTTTTTCACTTTTTTATACATTATTTTTTCTCATTATTTTTTGCGAATCGTTTCTAATGCTTCTTATGTTCATTAATTTACGGAACTTCATTGCAGCATCTGGAATATTGAAAGGTTATGATGCTTTAATCAATTTAGTGTTGGATAATGCTGTAGAATATGTGCGGGACACAGAAGATCCACAAAAAATGACAGAGGTTGGTTGCAATTTCGTGCTTCTATAATTGAAATAGTTGTTTTCTAATTTTTCTGTCAATGATCGAATTTTGCACTTATAAATTTGAGAGGTGTTTCTTGAATGGGATATTTTTTTAATTAATTTCATCCTTATTTGAAGGAAACGAGGCAACTGGGTTTGATTGTTGCTCGAGGAACTGCAATAACAGTTGTTGCACCAAACGATGGAATTGAACAGATTGCCAATCCTTTCGTATGATTATTGCTTAATATGAGCGATTATGATTTATGATTTTTTAAAAGCTTGTTTTTTTTAGTTTCCACTTGTTCATTTCAGATTTCATGAATCTCGTAAATGCTTTATCAATTTTGCATTAAGAGGTACTTTCTGAATGGAAAGAAAGTTTTCCATTTCTTTAATTAGTACTCAGTAACAATTTCTTCCCAAATTAAGCACAATTTTTTGATCAGTCGGCTTTTTCTCTTTTCTTTTTTTTGCATATTTCTCCATTTAAGAAAGCATGACTGTTTGTAGTCCGAAAGCCGGAATTAGAAATATTTATACTACTAAAGATGTGAATACGAATTGTTGTTTTATTTATGAATTTTGTTTGTTAGAGCTGAAAAATTTAATATAAGAATTGGAAATGAAATGCGTTTTTCCCTGGCACAGAAGACATAAATCATTTTGGGTGAGCAAAAAGAGAAAACTATTGCTTACAAAATCATTTGTTATAAGTAGCGCCATTGTGGACATTAGTGATGTTATCCGTTCATGCATATGGCAGTGATATTTCTCAAAAGAAAAAAAAAAAAAAAAAAAAAAAAAGATCATCAAAAAAGATCAAAAAGATCACATAAACAAATTCATTTTATACTCCGAAACATTAGACCAAGTGTCTAAAGACATATCATCATTGATTTCCATGTTCAGCCTTCATTTTGCGCCAAGAAAAAGTTGCCAGCAATTGGGTCACCTGAAATTTGAAGTAAAATATTGCTTGGAGAAAAAGTTGTTAGCATTTGTAAACTTATTTTGTGAAATGCTTGTAAACATCAGTTGTGCTTTGCCTTTGTGTATATTTTCCTGCACATAGTGTTTTTTTTTCCTTCAGAAATCAATTTTGAAACCATACCTAATTTATATTTCTCCACGAATTGTTTCGTGTTAAATTTAGCTCTACTGTTAATTTTTGGGACTTGTAATCGTCGTCCCTGATGTTCATACAGAAGTATTATATAGCGATGTAAATCGGTTCGAGGTTGTGGTGCAGGACTTCCATATGCCATTTGATGTTGTCCTGAACAATCTAATTATTTTTTTTTGGAATGAAATGGTAGTAGAGCAACAAAAATAATTTATTAAAACGGTAGAAGTCATTTCAAATTGAATAATATAAATTAACCTCCATTAATGCCTTCCTGTATATTGCTTGCGGGAATATTTACTACCTGAAATACAAAATTTAAGCGATACTTCAAACGCAAATGGATTTTTTAATGTTCCAGAAAATTCTAGTCAAGTTAAGATTTCCAAAAATCGCATTTTTAATCGGCTAAATTATGCCTATTTTAATCATTCATTCAAGAAATTTACGAAGGAATGCAACTAATAAAAATGATATATTTGATAATTTCTTGAAAATAAAATTTCACAATGCAATTATTTTCAATTGAATAAAAAATGAACCAGCCAATGAAGCCATTCGGCTACAGATGGATTCTTTCGTGACAGATTGTCAGGATCTGAAACTTCTTCACTTATTGATTCAAAAATTTTCTTAGTCTGAGATCATAATTAAAATTCAGAGACTTTTATGCTCTGGAAAATACGTATAGAGTTAAAATAATTAATAATAAATGCAATTTATGCCAAACATTTTTAACGAACAAAATTTTCGATTATAGTTGGGAGTAATTCTTTTTGATGCACAAATTTGAATGTTAGAAAAATTGCTTGAAATATAAAAAATGTTGAAAAGTTTAAGACAATGTATGAAAATTTTAGCAAGTATACAAGAAGTAAGATCAAACCGATCATGATCATGGAAAATGTCGATTCTGGATCAACATCCAGGGTAACACGTGGTGCAAAACGAAGATTTCGTGGTGACATCATTTGTCCAGGTTGCACTTGTATACCATCCCAGTTGCACTACAAATAAATGCAGCTTAAAATAGATTCGAATTTAAATTTCAAATAATTTTCCCACAGTTCCTTCTAGTTGAACTAATATTCATCATTCATATAACTTATCATCATCTTATCATATATCAATATATAACTTGTCAATCTTAAAATTTAAAAGTAATTTCTTAGCTACATATTCTAGTTATTTTATAAAAAATAAGACTGGAATGAACTTTAATTTTCTTTTCTCTTTTAAAGACTATATATCACAATTGCACAATATACCATACTTTATTAAGTAAATAAATTTTTTTTTAGCAAAATAGACTTAAAGTTTTTTTCTTACAAAAAAATAAAAGATATGTGCTTTTGAAAAAATAAAATACAATCTATTAGAGGAATTATCTATAGTGATAAAGTAGATCTGATATACTTGAAATAATTAAATACCATTTAAATGTTTCATTTTTTATTTAAATTAAAAATGTTTCTTCTTTATTTGTTACTGTAAATATTTATATGAAAAAAAAAGTAAAGGGGGAGGACAAGGAGAGAGAGAGAGAGAGAGGGTGAAAGGAGAAAAAAAGAGACAATAGGGACATACGGACAAGAAAATAATTCTTATTAAATTAATAATAGAAAAAGTGATAAAAAAATCAAGCATTTGCTTAGAAAAAAATAAATAAACAGCTATTATTAACAAAATGTAATGAATTCTACTATAAATTAACAAAAATGATAAATTTTTTAATTTTCAACCATTTTTTTTAGTTTTTTTAATTAAAACCAAAAAAAAAAAAAAAAAAAAAGGAAAAGGACATATTTAAAAGTCAAACAATTTTTTCATAGAAAAAAACATATATCAAAATTTGAAAAAAATTTTCACAAAAAAAATTGCAAAATTCAGTGTAAATTTTTTATTTTAATAAAAAGAAAACAAATAGATCCTAAACATTGTTACAATCGGGAAAATATTTTCGAGATAAATTAAAGACAAAAAAAAAAGAAAACAAAAAGATCTGAAATAGCTTACATTCAGTAATTTTGCTGGTGAATTTGGAATAATGTTAGGTGTAATTTCATTTTCCGCAAATTTTGCAGCAAGATCAGTCATCGTTGAATTATGAATGATATCGTGTTTGTCTATTGGGTCACTGAAAATTTATGATTTAAATTGAATTTCAACCTAATCACGTGTTATTTCATCAAATAACTTATCATCTATCACTCTTTCCTAAGAGAAAATTTCATACTTTGATTATAAAGATATGCTGAATTAAAATACACACACACACACACACACCTATTCAGAGATAGAAACAGACAGATACACACACAGTTTAATTTTCTGTAAAGTAAAACAAAACTTTTTAACTAGCACAAACATATATATATATCCCTCTCTCTCTCTCTGTGTTTAAGCCTCTTCTTTCATATACTTCTCTCGCAATATTTTTGCTATTAGAATATGTCAACTAAAAAAAGAAACAGTTTAAACTTTTGCGAGGATATATTTTTGAAGGGAATATGCTAGATAATTAAATATATGTAAAATGATACATTAATAAATATTTTCATATCTTTGCTACTTTCTATTTGTTTTTTTTTTTTTTCTTTCATTTCTTTTTTTCCTTTTTTGATAGTTTGTTATAGAAATAAAAAGTAAATAGTTTAGTAAAAGTAACGCTTTTAATTAAATTTTTTAACAAAAATAACGAGCCTTTTTTTCCATTTCAATGAAATGGAAAAAATTTTGTATGCTTTAAAGCTAATCATGAAATTAGCATTGTGAAAGAAAATTGAATAAAATGAGTTGATGAATTGAATAGAATTGAATATTTCATCTTATACCATTATCTAATTAATTATAAAATGAGATTAAGGCGTGATTTGATGAATTCATATGATTTGCTGTCATTGAATAAACTAAATTATATAAAAACTAAACAGAGAAAATATAAAAACAGATACAAAAAAAAAACGAAACAAAAAAAAAAAAAGAATGCTAGAATATTAAGCCAGCCCATACGTTTTTACATTTTAGCAATAAAAATGTGTTTTAAAACTAAACTATAAATTTCACTCAGAAATTTTCTCAACAAAAATCATCAATAATAAACCATTTTTCACTGCAAAAACAAAAGTTGTTATCGATGTTTCGAAGTGATTCATCAATGAACCAACTAATTTTACAATGTTAAATTTTTGTCAAGTACAATTTTCTTTTTTTTTTTTTTTTTTTTGCTTTTTGAAGCAAAATTGCGCTTAGAAGTATTGCTTGTAAATACAAGAAGAACAATAAATTAATTATACTTTGTTATTATTGTTTTTTTAAATCTCGATAAATTTACTTTTCTCATTTAGAGATCTTTAGGAATTAAACTTCCCTGCATTATATAATAATAATTTCTTTATGATGACAACAAAACAAATCTCTTAATGAGCCGAAATACCCTATCCCAGATTTGAAATGTTGAATAAAATTTAATATGCTAATCTTTATTAAGCAGATAAGATGATAGATTTAAGTCACGCAATCAGTCTAACTAGAAAATAGATTTTAATCAATTAAAGACTGGAGCCTAAAAGCATGAAAAAGTTTTTTACTTTCTAATAAAAAAATCATTATTTTTTAGTTTTTTAGCAAATAATAAATAAAACATTACTACTATTATTACCACTATTATTATTATTATTATTAATTGTTGTTATTATTATTTTTTCTTTAATAAATAATTTCATATACAAACATTATTTTATTAATGTATTAACCAATCTAAACAGAATAAATACTAGATACTTCTTATATTATAAAAATTAAAAAAACACGTTATGATAGAAATTGTGATTTCTGGATTGATTTAGTCTTCAAACTGATGATTTGATGATTCAGTAATCAAACGTTTACATAGTGAAAAAAAAAGCTTAACAAAAATTCAAGATCAAATTAAACAAAACCGTTAATGGAGGTTAGAATGGTGAAAGGAATGATTTAAACAGGAATTAAATCTCAAAAGCTTTCTAATTTTTTTCTTTCCTACTTCTTTCAAGTACATTCTATGATTATATATCGTTGACATAAACAATCATTTGTCAACTCCAACTGTATGTATTTAACATTCATCACTTTTACATAGATATTTTAAAAAAAGAAGAAAACGAAGAAAAAAACAAAAGAAAAAAAATCATTTATTAAATTTCTTTTACATTTTATTTCATACTTTAAAATTGGGAATAAAATTATTAAAAAAATGATAAAATAAACAATAATAGTCGTAGTACGATAGCTTAAAAATATTGAAAAATACAATTTTTCTTTTTTCTTTTTTGTTTAATTATCAACTGTACCTGGCAGTACCTAATAATATCAGCAAATAAAATACCATAGTCAAACAATTTCAAGATTTAGTTAAGATATAAAAGAGTTAAAAAAAAAAAAAAAAACAGAATGATGATTTTATGCATATATAAAAATTGATCAATTCAATTAATTCCAGAAAATGTTTTTTTTTTTTACAGCAATATTTCTTATTGCATTACCATATACAGGTAAAAACTTTTTTTAAACAAAAAATAAAATGCACAACAACAAATTTTTAAATTTTATCTTTTGTTACTTTTATCCCTTTTTTTCAGTGGAACTAATTTGTCATTTGTTTAAGCTAACATTTTTATGACGTAAACAAAAAATAATTTTCTTTATGTTTCCACTGAAATCAGTTAGAAAAAAGTTACAAATTTTGATTTTCCTCTCTCTTTTTGAATTATCCAAAATTTATTTAACAAATTTTTTGCAATAACTTTTGAAATTTAAATGAAAATTTCAGTTACACAATGGCAATGTATCTTTTGCTATTATCCATATCAACCACAACCATATCCAGATTTCTATCCATTTTATCCATCAATTATTACACCTGCTACACCAGTTCCATCCTATTCATGTAATTTAATTCAATTTATAGAAAATAAATTTGCCACAACCTTGTTAGATCATGATAAATTTATTAGTTCCTATTTTTCTTTTTTTAAACAAGAAAAAACATAATTTAATATAACATTCCAGCTATTGGTCCATGTGTAAACGGTCAATGTCCAACCGGACACGGATGTTATAATTCACAATGTATACCTGTGTCCAATAATTGTGAGTATTTCAGATATTATATTTATAACAAAAATTTTCCATTATGTTTTATTATATTGATTAAAAATCAGAAGAAACTTGTGAAATTATCAAATACTGCAGATTAAGTAAACATTTTGAACGGATTAGTTATTTACAAATGGATTCAAATAAATTAAATTTAAGTGAAAAATTTATAAGCGTATAGCCATTAAATAATATATCACTTTGATTTATATATCAATTATCAATTTGGTATATTATTATAAATAATATTACTATAAATTTGGCATATTATAATGTTGTAACAATCATATCAGGGATCAAATTTTAAGATAATACTTTCCTTTTTTTTTTCAATGTACAATTCTCAAGTTTTTGTATTTTTTCTTTTTATTGTAATAATAGCATTGTTATAAATTTCAAATTTCAAATGGACAATGCGTCAACAATCAATGCTTAATGGGATTTTGTTATAATGGTCAGTGTGTCGGATAGAATAGTCCAAGAGAATTACACCACGAAAATATTACTAATACCTTTGATTTAAACCTTTATCAAATAAAAAATTTGTATTTTTACTTTTTTTGTAAAAAGAATAAATAGATAAATCTAATTGTAAAATTTTATATTCAGAGGTATTGTTGTGAATGCATAATCTGGGGATATGAAATATTGATTAATCAAATGTATTGCAGTTAGGAAAAATTTCATGCTATACATATATGGAGTTTTAGTTTTGGAATGAGTTTTAGAAGTTATAAAACACCTTGTTTCATCAATTAACAACTCTCATAGATCTGGGGAATGCGATTTCATTTATTGCCAATGTAATTAATATTTTATTAGTTTGGGCTATGAAAATTCTCATTTCGTTACCTTCATAATTAGATAAAAAATCAATTTGAATTGTAATGTGTATATTGACAATAAACAAATACGAAATTCTATTTTGCCCAAAAATTTGAAAATTTTATATTTAATTAGAAAAGTGACTGAGCGATCAATGCGGAATTTTTGTTTAACATCCGAGCATATTATATACCCTTCAATTTTGCTATGAATAAAAAGCTTATTAGCAGATATTTAAAAAAAGGGGGAAAAATCATTCTTGCAGGAATGAAGTGTAAGAATAAATTTGTACTCTTAAATTTTAATTCATACAAACTTTTCAGTGCACTGGTTCAAAACTTTCAACCTTATTTATCAAAAATTTTTCATTCAACAATTATTTCTCCTGAATTACACTTTAATATTTAATAAAGAAAAAAAAAAGAATTTTATGATGAATGAATTTTGAATTTCTACTTTTCTTCAATTTAAATGGATAAAAAAAAAGCAAAGGAATGGATGTATATAGATACAATGATAAATGTTCCTGGATTAATAGTAAAGTAATTTAGTGTAACTGTAAGCCAAAAAATTTCCCAAAGTACTGAACTTCATTTTAATACTTTCAAATCTTTCAACAAATATTGATATTAATGCCAATACTGATAGGAAGATACTTATAAAAGGGAGAGATAAATACATTTTCATGATGATAATGAGACTTACACTAATTAAGAATTCAAGGTATAAGGTTATAAGGTTGGAAAAAAAAAGTCATATGTAAATACTGCTGCCTGAGAAGTGGAGAAAATAAAAAGAAAGTTTTGAAAAAGCTAACGAAAATTAGGAATAATGCCAAAAAATTTCTTTATTCGCAACAAGTGAAATGTTTTTCTTTCTTCTTTTTTTGACAAAAAAATTGCACAGATTATATTAAATAATGGATTGTTTTAATTCCGTTAGAGCTATCAGTCAAACCTTTTTCTGCAAGCTACATAATGTAGTAAATGAGCTAGCTGACAAAAGGAAATAAAACTGAATAACAAAATGATTGGTTTATAAAATGAATTCATATTTTTCTTTTTTTTTTAATTCCTCACTGTTGAGCTTTAGCATTCTTTTTATGCTCGATATATTTCTTTCCACCATTTGCATAATACGAAATATAATAGAAGCGTATCCAAAGCACCAAATAAGTCACTTCCATCAAAGTGCCAAGCGCAAAACCTCGCAACGTGACAGCATAATTATTTGTTGTGGTGAGAGAAAGAATAGCCAAATGTATCATCACTACATGTGTTATAGCAAACTGTAATATTTAATATATAATGTTGTTGTTAGAATTGTTATTACTGATACAATAAAAAAAAAATCCTCAAACATAAAGACCAAAAGATAAATAAGCAAATACGATGAAATTAACACACCTGAATGATTTGACCAAAGGTTATGAACTGGGCAATCTGTGGTGGAACACGTATACGAAGTGATCGTAGCATGTAATAACTGCAAAAATGAAAAAAAAAAAAAAAAAATGAATTAACAGAACATAGAAAATTTAATTTAAAACATCTATTATCAAATTCAATATTTAAAATTACAACTGCTGTTCCTTCAATGTTAAAATGTAATTTATTTCAGTGTAATGACTTTCAAACACTACCTGTACATAAAGGAATGTACGATGAAATTCAGCCAAACAACCCAAATCATGTAAGCATTTTTATTGGCATATGTAACGATTGCGAAATATCCTGTAAGCGCATGATGATACCAATGCATTAGCATTAATGGACGTTTCCTCAAAACGATAAAAATCGTGTCCAAAAGTTCCGGAACCTTTGAGATAATCCACAAGAAAGTCCAATAACCAGCAACGTCATCAGTGAAGCATGGCCCTATTTCAGTGAAAGTGCCTAAATAATAAAATGAATTTGGAAAAAGCATTAAAAGAGAAAAGAAAAAGAAAAAAACTGAAATTTAGTTCATCATTTATAGCTTCATCTTTTGAAATAATATAAAAAAACAAGCAAAACAATCTTTTTTTTCTTTTTGAAAAACCAAAATTGTTAATATATATTATAGGTAAAAGCAAAAATATGAAGAAATATTAACTGATATATCCTTTGGTAGCCATTTGTTTGAGGAAAACAGGTGTTATTTTAGCAACACCAAGAATGCTAAAAATAGCCAGCAAAGCATTCCAGATAACAAGCGGTTGCTGTAAATCGTATGGTTTTCGATCACGCATCGCATATTTGACGATAAAAATGCTAACAACATACGTCAATGATATATTCAATATAGTCCATTCCATTTCTGATGCCCATTTTCGTGCTGGTTCAAATTCAAATTTGGAGCTAAATATGAATTCCATTTTACCCTTGGTCGCTTAATTCCTACAAAAAAAAAAAAAAAAAAAAAAAAAAAAAAAATAATAATAATTGAAGTTAAAAGAAAAAAAAAATGAAAAAAGAAGACAAATTATGGATAATTTTCAAAAAGCATCAAAAATAATGAAAAAATTTTTTTTTCTCTCAAATGAATCATCCAAATTGAAATTTTTTAAATAAATTTAATGATAATCTCAACTAAACCAATATCATCATTAGATCAACGATCATTATATTCCTTCATTTATTTTAACTTCCACTCTTTTTCTTCGCAAAAAAAAAAAAATCTCGTTATTCGTGATGCTTCAACAATACATCGACGGTAATGGAACAAAACCGAATAGCACGAGAAAAAGAAAAATTATAGAAAGAAAAAAAAAAGGATGTCTATACTTCATAAATTGGATGAAATAAATTAATGAAATTATGTTTAAAGTGGAAACTAATTCTAACTGCGAACATTTTTTTCCTGTTTTATGCTTTCTCATTTTTTCTCCCTTTTTTAAAATATCTATCTATGTAGGTATAAAATATATAGATGTATCGGTAAAACAAAGAAATGAAAAAAAAAAAAATGATAAATGAAATTGATATATTTTTTAAACTGATATATTACATAGACAGCATATACATAAGCATAGTGACGCATACCGCTATCATCACATCACCGCCAATACCAATATCATTGCTATCTGTCACAATCACTTTCGTTAATACATACTGTGTTAACATTAATGAAAAAAAAAAAAAAGAGCAGAAGGAAAAGGAAGAGACTTTTAAAAGTCGTTTTATAGGTAAAACTGGAAAACTTGATATCGCACCAACATTTTCCTTATCAGCAAAGAAAAAAAAAAGAGCATAATTAAACATAAGACTGAGCAATCTCCGCCTCTTCGTTCTTTCTTTGCCATTTATTGCTCTTCTCGTTATCAGTTCATATGTGAGTATTGAAAAGATCAACGAGCAAAATGAAATAACGGAAGGTAAAATGGAAAATGCAAAAAAAAAAAAAAAGAAAAAAATTTTTATGAGTAAAATAAAAAGAAAGTTTAATGAAATAGGTGGTGTGATTTCGATATCATCAATAAAACAAATATTTCAGATGAGACAAATGTGACAATGTCACAATGCCACTGCAAATATACACTACAGCATATGTACTTCTTCATTTTCAAAGCAAATTATTTTCCTAATAAGTTCATATGAGAGAGGGAAAAGGGAAAGAGAAAGAGGGATATCATTTATCCATATTAATTCTCTTTTATAGCTTTCTTTTCATATAATGAAATCATTCTGCATATCAAACAACTTATCAGTAGCTCTCTTTTATACTTCATTATACTGGGAGTAATTACTAATTTACGGCTGAAAATCGGAAAGAAGTATAAAAAGAAAAGAATAGGGATGAAAAGGTGCCAAGATATTTTTAAAAATTTTTCAAACTAACTTCAATTCTACTTAATCAAGCAACCATAAGGACTACATTACCAGAAGTAATCGTTTATAGCACTTCATTAATAAGTGCTAAATTTTATGTAATTTCTGTGCAATAAATTTTATGTAATTAATAAATAGTAGTAAATTTCATGCAATAAATTTTATTTTTTTTTTTATGAATTGTTTTTGAAATTTATAATTAGTTTTATACCATATTTGTGAATTTATTTTATTCTTTATATTTTCTTTTTTTTTTTTTTTTATAAATGAAAACTTATGTATCTAATTAGTAAGAAATTTCATGTAATAAGTTTTATTTTTTTATAAAACAAATTTTATTTAATAAATTTAGTGTGAATTATGTGAGCAGTAAGTGCCAAATTCTATGTAACTACTTTTACCAGCATAAAAAAATATGTGACAAATTCACATGGTTTCTCTCTCTTCACCTTAAGCCATATTTGTAGTAATACTTTAAAAATTTTTAATATACAAATTCTTTCGAAATGTCAGAAATGAACTGTAATAAATTAAAACTCAACTGAAAATTAAAACAGAAAAGAAAAATTAAGAGGGAGGAGAAAGGGAAAGATAACAAGAATTGCAACTTCTAACTTAATGTACAAAATTTTTACTTTTAACTTTAAATAATTTATTAGCATAACTGAAATGCTTTCATCCTAAATTATCATCTACAAAATTATTTCCCTCACCTATCTTATTTTTATAGCTACAATAAACCGATCAAATCATTAGTGGAAGTGTAGCTTTCTCATACAGTTTATTTAAATGTCAAGAAAAGCCGGAACACGTTTTAACGCTTATCACGCGTCACTCGAACGGAATTTCAACGCAAGCAAGCGCTGTATGCAGAGATTTAAACTGTAATTTATTAAACAAATGATTCGTATTCAATACACAATGAATAAATATATTATACCTACCCCATTTCTCTCCTCCTATTTCGTCTCTCCCCGCCTTTTCAGCGCCAAACAATTTTGGATAGATCAAAAATCGATAAGTATGACAAGCGCAGCTGTCCTTTTTTTCTCCCCTTTTCCTTCTCTTTCTCTCTCCCCCTTCGCTCCCTCTCTGCGTCTTTTTCTTCCTCTCTTTTTTTCCTTTAATTAAAATTACGAAATTTTTAAAGGTCGACAATGTCTAAAGTACCCCATTAATATAACTCGTTTTCAACTCTATTATATGTAAAAAAAGAACTAAATGTTAGCAAATTTTCTGCACAGAGAGATGTCAAAAAGTAGCAGCAATGATAAGATCTTACATTTATCATTTTTGTTATGAAATTAGAATATGTATACTGAAAAAGAGAATATATTGATTAATTGAAACAGTTTCTAATTATATTGTAAACAGAAACTAGGTTATAATGCTGAAATGATGGGCGGATGTTAAGTAGTTTCTATTTTAATATCAGATATTCATATGTAATTAGAACGAAGGGAGGGGAGACAAAATACAAACTAAGTAGATGTGCGTAGCTACTTATTCATTTCATAGAAAATAACATTTTGCAATTTTAACAGAAATGAAAAATGACTTTGTTGAATCTATATATAAGCAGGAAATTTATATTTGAAAATTCAATCTCATAAATATTAAGTATAACAAAAATAGCAATAATATCACCTGAAAATGTTTTCACAAAGGAATGGTCGGTAGATGGATGATTTGTATAATATGCCCAAACCGGTCCCGAGGTGGAAATATAAATTTCATTTATCTTCCACAAACTATCAATGTAAATGAAAAAATGACCCTCAGCCCTCGCAACTTTTCGGAAAATGACCTTTGAACTTAACATTCCACCCCTCTTTCTTCCTGCATCATTAACTAACCGACGAATATTCGAGAACAAGATTTCTTCCCTACCTATTGTCTTTGTCATCCCTTTCTTCTTCATTTAAGAATAAATTGCATTACTCAGGATGAAATTGATTATTTATTAGTCTGTTGTATAACATGAAAAAAAGTTTACAAAATCGGCCAACTTTTTGAAAATCATAATTCTACAGAACTTTATTCGAGCGAAATTTTATATGTCTGACTTTGAAATACAACAAAGCCAACATAACAAAAAAAAAAAACATCGTTCATATAGACTTCTTTTAAAGGATCAGTAATTCGTGGATATCAATCAAAAGTTACTATTTCACTTTGATATGCGATTCAGGAAAAAAAGCCAAGAAAAATCCCGGTTATAATAAGGAATGATATCAATGCAATAAACGGGTTTAGTAACAAAACTGTTTCAATGTATGGTCGGCATAACAAAGTGCTAATTAGCAGTGACAAAAGAAAATGGATGAAATTAGCGGATGAAATTAAAAATTGGATGAAATTAAAAATTCAATACGCTGAAATGAAACTAATTCAAAAAAACTGATCCAGTGAGAGACCGTAACGATATGTATATGCATATTCTCATTTCCTTCCCTCACAAGGTAACGCTCCAAAAAATTTGTCCCAAATTTAAATTCTCAAGAAAAAGAAGTAAGATGCCTTCCCTTAAATTTCCTATAATTTTGTAGCAACACAAAACGGTTCAGCGTATCATAACAAAGCGCCTACACAAATAACACACTGAAACACGACAGATGTTCCACAGCAGATGAAGACTCGACAGACCAGAAAACTTAAAAGAGGGAAGAATATCTGACCCTTGTTAGTGTTACTAAAAAAAGTCCTCAGAAAATAATCCAAAAAATTTGCTTGCACATTATCTCTACCTAACAACATTATTTCAGGGATAACGGTGTAGTACCCTACTATTTTGCTTTATTACCAGAAAGAATAAGTCCATTTCTTCACGCATATTTTCATCAATCTATAACAATTACTTCCTTCACAACCTTTTTTACTATCTAATGATGTTTAGTAATCTCAGTTATTACAATTAAATCGGTCAATCATAAACAACAGAGCAACTATCCAAAAAAAAAAAAAAAAAAAAACCGGAGTTTTAACTGCGAAAGTAGTGAATCCATTTCGTTTTAAAGACTCATAACGACTGTCACAGTAAATAGCTTGAAATGAAAAAAAAAAAGTGTCAATTCAATTCTAGTCTTTTTTCATCGCCATTTTTTCTTCCTTGAATTTCTTCCCTCCACCCTTCACATACGACTGATAGTAGAAATTAGCAAAAAGTATAACATAAGAAATTTCCATGCCCAAGCAGAGCAAATATATGCTTAGCGTTCCATCGACAGCTTCACCAATAGCCATCAAATAACCAACATGCATGAGGATAAGCAACGTTATAATAAACTGTAGCATTTGCATGGATGTAATATAACGTGCAATAGCTGCCGGTACGCGGATGTGAATTGATCGCAGGAAGTAATAACTACAAAGAGAAGGAAAGAATAAGTAATTAATAACAGAATGTATAGCAAATAAGAAAGATTTATTTGAAAATAAAGCACAAGAAATATCTATTATTATCATTATCATACTCATGACAATACTTTGTTTCCAAGATTCCTACTGAATGTTGAACTATTAAAAAAAGATAAACTTTAAGAGAAAAATGCTCACCTATACACTCTAATTATATGGATCTTGGCTTCTTTGTGAAATTAAGGGAACTAATACAATAACAGGAAATTGGATGGAAATATTAGAATAATGCATTAAAATAACTCACATAAAAACAGCTCACCTGTACATAAAACTATGAACCGTGAAATTCAACCATATAATCCAGCTGTTGTAAGGCGTATGCTGGTTATAAGACATGATACCGTAGTTGAGAGTCAACACATGATGATACCAGTGCAGGAAGATCAAAGGTTTCTTGCGTAATACAATCAATATTGTATCACCAAGCTCTGCAAATTTCGATAAGCAAAATAGCCATGACCAATAACCACTGGTTCCTTCGAAGAAATCGCCTATTTTCGTGTATGATGCTGTAATAAAAATCAATTAAGGTAAAATTTTAAGTAAAAGCAATGAATCACTGATTTTACTGATCATGCAATAAGCGAAGAGCCAATTTACACTTTGTAATGTTGAAAACAGTGCTTTACTGTGAGGAGCGAAAGTATGCATACCCACAAAACCGCGATTGTAGATTTCTGAAAAAAGAGCAACTGATGTGAAAAATGATCCCAACACACTGAATACTGCCAACCATGTATTCCAAAAGTTCAACGCTGCTGTAAGCTAAAATATCAGAAGCTACATTTAAAGTTCTTGCAAAAATTTCTCCTTTCAGCTGTTGTCAATTTGTGTTTTTCGTTTACTAATTCAACTATCATCGATCAAACATACCTAAAACCATTATAAACGGACAAACCTGAAATGGCTTAAATCGAGTCATTACAAGTTTAATAGAGAAAATGGCAATCACGTAGAGTACAGAAACGTATATCCCAACATTACGCAACGTCCCAGTGTAACGGACTGCTTCTTCATATTGAAATGGTGCTGTGAAAGCGATACGTTTCAGCTCATCCATATCTAAATATAGTGATCAATCAGTATCCGAATCAATCAAACATTCAGTAAAACGCAACACTTGCTAAAACACACATATCATAAAATAATACGAACTAATTATATCATAGTGGCAGATGTGGTACAGTGTGTCATGAAATCCTGAAAATTTTTGAGAACTACATATATCCATTAATATTTGAGATGTATGATAATTAAAATCAATAAAAATGGGACTAAAAAAATGGTTACTTCAAGTCATAAAGAATACGTTTTCAAAATAAAATTTTTCAAGTAGAAGGAAAGATAAAATAATTAAGATGAAAAACTCTAACAAAGGAGACTAATTCCGTTCAAACTTTTTCATTAACAACACATTAATCTGTCAAAACTTTTTGCTTTCACAGTTCTTTCTTACATCAAAACTTGCTAAATTTTCAAACTAATCATTTCTTTCATTGAAAAGGTAATTACTTGTTGTAATTATTGTTTAATCTCTACGATAAAAAACGACCGATACAGTACTGGCATACCGTATCGGTCGTTTTTTTTAAACCATTTTTTTAATGTTATATCATATTCACATATTTCCGACCAGAAAGCAAAGATCAAACGCCGTACTATTTTACATATAAAATGACCTCGAAATGCATCATTCCGGCAGAACGATAAAATATACTAATCAATCAACCAATTAGCTATTAATTAAATTTAAAAAATTCAACAACTGTCCAAATTATAACGTAACCATTTCAAGACCTACTCATAAAATATTAACAGTAAAGATAATTACACCAAGCAACACTTGTTTCGTACATCCGGTTATTTATCCCCACTTTTTGCCATGACCTTCAACCTTTACGTATAAAACCACAAAAACTGCTAATATATCTAAAAAATTCGTTTTAAGAAGAGTTGAATGAAAAGATTAGCAAACAGGCGGGATGCGAAAGAATGCTTGATTATGACAAACAAAAGAGACAAAGACGCGACAGGAGGAAAGAAAGGGAGGACGATGGAAGATAGCCAATAATTTACCAGTGCTTCAGTACCAAACACTCTCAACACTCTAAAACTACTACCCTTCTCTTATCAGCGGAACGGTAACTACCAAAGAATCTAGAGTCATTAATAGTCCAACAACGACCTCCCACCATATCATTTAATATGAGCAAACCGGTATCTCTCTTCAAATATCTTCCAGTCATTAAATTTCATACAGAATATTATCAGCAGATTTGTCAGTATATATATATATATATATATTCAGTGTACATTTGTCAGTGCATTTATGGTTAAAAAACTTCTAATAATTCCAAACTTCAATGTCCATTTCTTCTTTTGCTACCGGATAATTACAATCTTCACCAAATTAACACTAAACCTATTAACTTATTCCTTGCAATATGGTTAAAGTACCTTTCGCATGTGCTTATGTATATATTTGTGTATGTATTCCAGTAACTTTCTCAATTGTCACCATCATTAAGTATAATTACATTATCTTATATATTACGCTCTGAAAGAATTTGCTAAAACTGAAAAAAGATGGGCTGAGAAGTCCGATTAATCCATAATTCACTGAAAGAACAAATATTATTTTAAGTGAAATTCCAAAGTAAAGCAAAATAGTTGAATGCATAAACATTCTAATCCAGTGCCATATCACTTTTATCAAAAATAACTTTACGAAGTATGATAAATTGAAAGATCTTTTTTTCTTGTTAAACTCATATAATATATTCACAGCAACACAAAACTGAAATAATTAATGCGTAATAGTAGCAGATACGAACCGCAAAATGAACTTAACGGCAATGAGAAAAATGAAGTTGTCAGCGCAAATGGATATGATCTCGAAATGCTATAGCACGCAATATAAGGCACTAAGCTATTGTGTGTACATTAGTTTAGCATTCCCTTTCAAGTGCTCATCATTAATTTTCAAATGAATGAAACATAAAAACGCAAGAAACCAATGATCGAGCGAATTAAATGAATAACTGATACAGCTAATCTCTGTAAGGGAGGTCATGTGTAAAGCTACATCACTATAAGCAGAACGCAGTTACCCGGATCACCGAACAATTCCGATACTGCTAATAATGTTCAAATCACACTCTCTGTATTTTGCAATAGTTCATCAGAAGAACTACGAAACAGAAAAAAGGTAAATAATTTGGTAAAGTCGTCCATAAAATCGATTACATTCTCAACAATAAACTTCCAGCAAAAAAATAAAATAAATAAAACAACCAAACGATAATTTTAGTACTTCATTTCTTGTTTCCCTGAAGCCCAGAAAATGAGTTAAACAAGAGAGCGGTAAATAACAACTGTAAAGTCAATCACATGACAAAAAGTTTTGAAAACTGAAGTAGCTAAAAATTTTTTTTAAAGTGACATGAAAAAAAGCACTTCACTGCAAGACGGACAACATGCGCCTACTATGAAAAGGAACCTGACAGCAAGAAATTTAATAGTACATGTAGTCATTCATTTTGAAATTTGTTTCGGTAGTGAAGAACTATCCGGCAAAAAAAGTAGGATTAACACAAACCCCGTTCCGAATAAAGATTGTCAGTTTGTTTAGGATCAGAAATAGCACACAACATTAAAGGAAACCATATGATGTAAATAGCGATCAAAATACGATTCTTTTACTTATTGCATTGAGTGTGAGAAACTGGTATAATAAGTGATGTACGTTTCGATTCTATTGCTAATACAAGGAAGATTTGAACTTTCTACCAAGATATCATTTCATTAACATCTGCACTCTGTTAACCACTTTTGAACCAACTTGATAAAACACATATCCCACCACGCCAATGATCATCGCTTTCAGGGTCAAGCGTATGAATTTTTCAGTATGTGTTGGTTGTGGTATGCTGAAAAAATAAACTCACATTTATGGCCAGCTTTCCTCTCATTCTCTGCTGAATGTTTTACCACTACCGTGCCCATTATAGAGAATAAAATTTCTGGCGTCAGAAATTATCATAATAAAAAGAAAAATCTGGTCTGGTATTCCCTTAAACTGTGCCATTCTTCGTTTGATCATAAAGCTGCGGAATTACAAAAAAAAAGAACCGGCATAATATACGGATCTAACTTTTGTATATTAGATATGGTGGATAAGATGACAGAACTTACATTAGGAGATCACCCACATCAATTCTTTTATTCCAGTTAGAAATAATGCCGGGAACATGTCCCATGCCGACAACAGCTACAACAGATATTGGCTGCCAGGCGACTAAAAATATGTATCACAAACAGAAAAAAGAACAAAATTTCTTGCAGCACTAATCAAAGAATATTTTTAATTAATTTATCACCTTGCATAAAAATAAAACAATCAATTCTCATTTATTCTACACGCATCTCAACGTTATACAGTAGCTGGCAAGAATTATAACTTTTTAATGAAGTCAACAGAACCAGAAGTAGTGAAATATATCCATAGCTACAACATGCAAATTTTCGATGTCCAATAATTATCTATACAAATCACAAAGGAAGCTTACCATCTGTTTTACTCCATGCTACTCTCTTATCAAACGTAGATTTTTTCAATAAAGTATGCAAAGCATTGGTCATATATAGATCTCGTTCCTCCACAAAGATTTTCGAAAGCAGTGGAAATTCACCAGCCATCTGCTTAAGCAGTTCTTCCAGCATATCTGATTTCTTACATCTTTCTACTTCTTCTTGACTAGAGAAAAGAAATAAAAATGAATCCTGAGAATGCAGAAATGACAACGTTTAAAAGAGGAAGCAAAAAAAGTCTGTGATAAACTTACGTGATAGTGGTTTTATGTGAAAGAACAATATGGTAAAAAAGTCGAAGTTTTTGGAAAAAGTTTAGAGAGCTCAATGCTCTTTGTACAGTCACATGTATTGGACGATCACCCAGAATTAGTTTGCACATCTTCACGTTCATAGCACCTCTGAAAATCTAGAAGATTGGAAACAGTAACAAAAGTAATCCGAACAAATATTAAAAATGATACTTTAAAATGGTATTGTTGGTGTTCGGAGGATTATTTGGAATTATGAATTCAACATGAACAAAACACATTTTATTCAAGATTAATTCAGACAAAACAGTACTTGTGAGCTGCACGAAACTCCCCTCCGGGAGCCATACCCAGCGTCTTGGTCATATGGGCAGACATAGACAATAATAATATATGGAGTATTCCTTGAACTGCGCCACTCTAAACAAATAATGTTGTTACTGCAACACCAACATCGAAAGAAATAACTTCTTCAACACCTGTTCCACAATAAACAACTTACCTGCTTAACAGTATTTATAACTTTATCAAAATTCAAATTTTTGGCTTCCTCAAGTAAAGTATCCTCATCCATTGAAAGTATTGATATACGCGATGGACAAAGTTCGACCATAACCATATCTGGTTGAGTATTTGCAATCGTTTTCAAAACGTCTTGTTGACTATCAGGCGAAAAATGCGCTGTACCAATCAAGTACACCTAAATTACATGGACCATATCAGTCACATATATTGAAATTATTAAGCTCAATACCTCAGGAAGGCGGGATTCTCGGAACTCATTCAAAGTTGCCAGGTATTCAAGTGAATTCTGCAGACGAAAAAATAAATACTTTTAATTAAAAAGTCGTTGAACATATGATCGAGTTCTTACTTTTGCATCAGCTAATGATTTGCGGAATTCATTTTCGTCATCTCCAATAGGTATAGCTGTAGGCGGAAAGGGATAGTTCAGAACAGTTACTGAAAAATTTTACAAGGCATATTTTATTATTAGCATCTGACTTACTAGCTACATAGGAAAATAAATGTCCATCACTTCCCAACACAGTATTAAAAAAAAAAAAAAAAAATTATATTACAATAATTCAGAATTGTCTTTAAGTAAATAACAACGATTACCAATATTTTAGGATGTATACTGTGCTAAAAGTGATCAGAATTTCAAAACATATTGTTTTTTGTAATGGTTAAACATTCTACAAAGAAATTAATCAGAATTACTGATCTAAAAAATACCTGTTTCGTTCGGAAGCTCTGGACTGGGATGACGATTTCGATCAAACATGAAACCTCCAAAACATCGTCCCTAAACAACAGAGAATTTAACTGACAAAGTCTTAAAAGAGTAAATTGACTCGAGATCCAATTTGTGATAATCAAGATTAATTTGCATATTACTCAAATATTCCTCACATGTTCCACGTGGATACGCTCATCGTTTTGCTTCATTTTTTCACTTAAACGTATGTCATCTCCAATATCTTCGGAATTAACCGTGTTTGCTGATACATGACTACCAAAATTTGATGAAGAATCCGTCGCAGACATTACAGACTGCTCTATTACGCTAACTGTGCCTTGAAATAAAAACAAATTATGACAACGCTCCATTTTGCGCTGGTGCCTCCTATTGCTAACATAATTATAGATTTGTGAATCACTGACCACATTTTTTTCCTCTTACATCCCGTAAAAATAACAATGATAAAACAAAATAAAAAGATAACCCTATAAACGCAATCTAAAACACTATTCCAAATATAGCAACACTATCTCAGCTATAATAAACGACTAATTTATCTCTTATAGCACCAATTTTCCCCATCTTTGAAGTTAAACGACTTCAAATGAATATCAGGGAGTACCTGAAACATCGTCACATCCCGTGTGGAACAATTCAGTTCCCGAAAGTCCAGAATCATTATTCATCTCCGTGTCGGGATCAATTGCGTCTCCATCCAGCAGAAGAGGAGGAAACATGTGTTCGTCCTCATCCTGTATCGACGTTATGTTATCAGCCTCCGCATCATTTATAGACATCTTCACTCTGGTAATTATACATAATTTAGTGAAATCATAAAGCAAGCAACTTCCTGCTTCACGAATGATGAAAGATATCATTCCTCTTCTACTTTCCTTAAAGAACCACTACAAACAGACATGGAGTCGCGGAAGTTTCACATTTTCACTTCATTTGCAGTAAATTCTTACAAGATCCGACAACAAATGTCTTTCTTCCTTTTAGTTTTCCAATAATCGAGCACATGCAACTATGCTAGATAAATATGAGAAAAACTGCTTTTGATCCGGATTACAAACACAAATTCAAGCTGTTTATTACCATTCACTAATACATTAAGATAAAGGTAAAAGTAACCAATGATAAATTTCATTACCACCATTTACACAAAAACGTCAATGAATAAAGATACAGGTACCTTTATTGCCTGATACAGAGCTTGAAAATGAATTTAAATTATAAAAAATAAAAAGTATGGAAGATTCTAAACCGATCATGAATAAACCGTTTGTGACATTCGACTATTTCAACAGAACAAAAGAAATCTTACAAAGGTAATAATGGAACAAATTAGTCACACTAGCTAAACTTAAGGAGGTAGGCACTTTGGCATACCCATAAAGGAATTAGACAGTGGGATCAATTTCGCGTAGAAAGAATATATTTGCACATTTCATATGCAGACCAGCTAAGCGCTGTGGAAGGAACTTGAAATATTATTCGAGCCTGAAGTCCACGAAAAAATCCACCCGTACCTCGAAGATAGTAAATTGTCCGGATTCCGTCAGCCAGACCTCTGTAAAACAGTTTATATAATCAAAAATACAAATGGAAGCAAACATGGATGGAAGTTTTAACGATCCAAAGAAGTCATGCTATGATTAAATAAAAACTCAGTTCAGTATTTCATATAACAAATATTAATTTTAGCACGAATTAAAAAAAGAAAATACTTGTAATATGCTGTAGGTCCGCTTTGAGTAAGCAATCGATATGTGGTACTAAATCGGGGAGTTTGCTGTGTATTTAAAACGGTCTTCACACAATCGAAAGGAGTTGTGATAGCTGCAGCTATCCCACCGGCAATTCCTACAAATCATTTTGGAATTTACAATTCAAAAGAATTCAAAAGAGAGAAAAAAGATTTGGTAAATTATCGCCAGGATAGACATGAACTTGTTGCACAAGCGTCATTTAAAGCCATTAAACAACGTACAAAAAAGACTAAGGTACATCATTAAATCGTAATTGTGCACCATATCAAAATAAGAAAGGATAATTATGCAAAAAACGTCTCTATTTCCATAAAAACGAAAATGTTTATTGAAGACTTTATAGATTTTAAAAATAAAAACAAACTCAACTGTTATTAAAATTGCAGAACATCAAAACATACCTCCGGAAACAAGATGGGAAGAAGGATTGTAATTATGATGTGGATTTAGCAAGCTTTGCATATATTCGTATATTATAAAATGAGTACACTGATAGGGTACATTCAATGTTAGCTGCGTAATATATGAACGGTAAAAAGCCCTGAGACCCTCTCGAATATAAATACAGCGTATACATTCCAGACTATTACCATATGGACTAAAAATCATTTGCATACGCTGTTTCACTACCTGGAAACAAAACAGTACAAACAAGAATACCATAATGTTATGATGACGCAACAAAAGCTGATATTAATCTCCTAAATGAGAATCAACTTTCCAGCCAACAAATGATCTTGTATAATAGTTAAACGATTTCTCTAAGTTAGAGAAAATTCAAAAGGAACTTGAATACCTCAGCGGGATTCATAACAGCATCATGAACAGCAGTAGCAAGCGCTCCGGACATCGCATACGACATCGAACTAGATACCCGTGGATTACTTAACAAATAAGCTTTGGAACTGCAAGATTTCATGCACTGTTGTTGATATTTGTGATTGAATTTTCAGAAATTCGATGGAAAGATTATAAAATTTTGCTCGGGGTTAGAAAAAAGAAGACATCATCACAGAAGGTTTTAACATTTAAAAAATCTTCCATAACAAGTTAAAAGAGAATAGTGAATAGTAAAGAAAAATGATAGAATACATTAAACATCGATAAGTGGTAAAGAGATCAACCTAACCGTTAAATTCAGAAAACAGTAATACTAACTTTTCATAAACCGTATAATACAGAGCATGAGCAGGAATGGTACCAAGTACAACAGCATTGACTCCTTTTAACGATCGCAGCAAACCTTCGCGTTTCACCATTGATAAAAGACTATGCATTGCTGTTGGACATCTTGTTTCTGGGCATGGACACAAACTTTGCAATCGAGTTTTCACCGAGTCGAATGGGAACATGAGACAGTGTTCGGCAAGACCGGCAACCGACCCAGCCAAAAGATGCACCGGCCATCTGCATGGTGCCAATGGACTACATAAACTATCCGCCATCCCGCCCTAATCCCTCATCTGTAAATAAATACAGAAATATTAAATCGTTGCATTAAAATGATATATTTTAGAGAGATAAATTTGACTAGCCTTAGAGAGTCCGGAATTACAAAAATTTCCCAAACATTCACAGTAATATGTCAGACTTATCTGTTAGCTGATACGTCAGTATCTGAAACAAAACATTGTTGTGGATTTCCAAATCAGAACTGCCTTTGCACTTCCGTCCATATATTCTTATCATCTTAAAATTAATGGAACTTAGCATGACATGGTTCTTGTCAAAATCTATTCTCATTTCTATTTCCTGACTCAACTGAAAGAAATAAAATATTCCCACAAAACCATTTTCTTCTTCTGGAAAGTAATATAATTTGTCAGTACAGTAGTAGTCAAAAGTAACTAGCAATAAGAATAAGAGAGAATATTTGGTTTTATGGAAGTCACTTACTAAAACTTGTTTCACGAAGCTGCCAAACTTATCCATTCTTTTACCTTCATTTCTTTCTTTATTCCATCTTTTCACTATGAACTATAAGATACTACTATCCATTACATCCTAGGCTTTTCTCTGAAGGTACTATGTTCCACTGTCTTGGAAAAAACGAAAGAAACCACCAGAAAAACAAACTATGATCAGGAAAATCAACAGAAATTAGAGAAAAACACGAGAGACACGAGAAATTAGAGAAAAACACGAGAGAACAAACACGAGAGATTCTAAACAACCGGTTATTATTACAAAAGCATTTCAAAACCAAAAATTGAATTCATCCGCAATCCGATCCCAAACCTGTCGTAAGAATCCCGGATGTACTGGGAATGCTATCCTTTCATGTCTTCTTCATTGTATCTAATAGATCATTACTCTGTAGTGTCTATTCAAATAACACAAACTTTTTCCTCGCCGTGACTACTACCAATTAAAGCGTGGTAATACTTTCATTTTCTTTAGCTATACGCTTTTTCGTGAACTTCAGCAAATCATGAAATCTTACAAATTTCAGCGCTATTTCATAACTTGAATGTCTGTTTTAAATATTTTTAGATTTTATCGATCTTTGTATAACAGCTAACTCGAAATAACCATTCCCCGAGGTCTAAGAGTCTTCTTTGGGATTATCCGCCATTCTTATACGATGGAGAGGGAGGACCACTTTTGAATGCGATTTTAATATTTTTCAATGATTCCAGTATTTAATTTCGTTTAAATCTGAATTCTCGTTATTAGGTGCTAATAGAGCAATAATAGCTACCGCCGCAGTTATTTTATCCCTCTTTTTTGTTAACCGGATGTATTGTTTTCTAATAATAATAATAATAAATTTGCCTCATAAACTGCTTTATATCCTTTTTTTTTTTTTTAATTACAATAGTTAATAAGATTTGTCAGTTTTCTTCCTTTACACAAGTGAATTGTTCTGGATAGTGATCCGGTATATTTATTACCACTGTAAAAAGTGTGAAGACATTGTTTGGAATCTATCATACAAATCTTTAGTTGGTGGGGAAGTAAGAATTACCGCACTAAGAATAATTGTAAATAATCATTGCATCATGGAAGTAATCATTGCCGTTACTTTTCAATTATTGGATTAATGCGACGTGATAGCAAGGTATTTTTAGACTGATAGCATGCAGGTTATTTCCGAATACGTAATAGGAATTACTGATTAATGCAAGATTTTAATAAATGTTCAATAAATGTGAACTTTTAATTACTTTAGGATTTTGCAGATGGAATGTTTTAAATCAATGTTAATACTATTTATATGCATAACCAGCACGGCAGCACAGATACCAGAAATAGTGGAATTAGTAGTTGGTCAACCATTTTATTATGCATTTCAAATTGATTCAAATGTATTGGATGTGCAGGATGCATCTGGTGAAGAACTACCAACATGGCTAATTTGGAAAAGAAATGAACGGTGGTTTTTTTTTTTTTTTTCTTGAAAGGTTTAATGCTAAATCCAACAAATGAAAAAAAAAAAAAAAAATGTGCGTAGTATTTTGTTCTTTCAGGATTTTGGAAGGTGTACCACAACCTACTGATGCTGGAAAAACATTTTTACGGATAACGAACGGTCAAACTAACGATGTAATGGAAATTTCTGTTAAAGAAGAAATCGTAAATCCATGCGGTGTCGAAAGGAATATATTGTGGATGGAAATTGCATTTGATACCTCTCTTAGCAGTTTGAGTATAGCTGATCAGTTGGATCTTGTTAATATTGTCTCAAAATTTTTTAATATTAACAGGTAAGTAAAGGTATGTTTGTTGTAAAAAGTACAAAAAGTAAGGGAAGCATTTTTTATTTTTCAACAAAATGTAGTTTTTAAAAGATTTCTGTAGGAGTTCAAGAATTTAGAAGAGCAGTTAGCGTAGAACATCTGCAAATAATAATGTAGCTTTATAACGATCAGTTCTCCTGGCATTAATCATTCAGTTTCTGCGACATTACCAAAGTTAAAGCGTATATATTTCATTATTCTTGGTATGACTTAGCTTCATGCAGTATAGATGTGGAAATTGTGTCACGTAGAATTATAATTAACTACGCTGATAATTTTTCAGCTCTTCGCTTCGCATTTATTCAAATAAGTACAAGGAAGAAGTAGGACGCTCAGAAGTTGTAGAGTCCGGTATGCAAAATAAGCCAAAAAATGATTCAGTGACAATTATGTGGAAAGTTTCCTGCGAAGAAATTGATGAGGATGCTATTGATGTGTTGGAAAAGATGCTTACGTTCGATGAAAGTGATGCTTTGGCGATGTCGCGGCAAAAGCTATTTGGTTGGGAGGTTTGTGCAAACATTTGTATGATTTATTTAAAGTTTAGAAAATAGATCTGCATTATTTGGTGGCAGTTACTGTAACTGTTAAGAATCTTCCCGAATTCAAGAATTTTGTCAAAAATTTTGTCTCGTACCTTTTAGTTCACTGAAATTTGTTTTAATTCTACCTGAATCGATTCTATTGATCATTATAGGATTATCATTTTTTCATCATATTATTTGTTTTAGCAAACTATATCAAGAATTTTAACAAATTATATTAGTCATAAACTTTGTAGCTCAGAAAAGGAACTTTATTACCACGGAAACAACGTAACCATATTGCGGGAACTAATATTTTGTCTCAGCTTTCGGGCTTTGTTACAAATGAACCATATTCTGAAGCGACAACTTCTAAAACTACAGCACGTTTATCACGCTCTACAAAAAAAGATGACAGACCACCAGTGCGACTGCATTCACTGCAGACTTTTACTTGTAGAAGGTACATTTCAGGTTTTTTTATGACGTTTATTATAATTCATTTGTTATAATTATACCCAGGTGGTAATTAACTTTTTTATTGTCAGTCAATGTGTTTTGCTAGTTTTTTTAAACCATATTACATGCGGTGTATGTAGTGTAATTTAGAGGTATGATGTGCGAGTATACCATTCCGAGGGAAACATTCATTGATGTGGAAGATGGAGATACGCGTTCACTTACTTTGTCCGTTTACCCTATTGTTGCTGATAACAACTGGCTTACATTAGACAGGAAAAATAAACAAATTTTACATGGTATCTCACTGAATACAGGAGATTTCGAATTTCGGTTAGAAGCACGAGACTCTTCAAATCAGGCAAGCTAAACGGTTGTTGCAATTGCACTGAGTTAGCAAGTAGATCATATGACTACCAGATGGAGATTGCGTAATGATAGAAAATGTGTACGACAGATGTTCCTGATATATTTTGGAACATTTTAGCCTCTTAATAGCATGAAAAAAAGTATGCTATGAATTACTTTATCGTAATGATAAAACTGCATGGAGAATTTCTGGTATTTTTTTGCGGCAGCACTTTTATATTGCTATTTTTGGTTTTTACAGATGACATCCGCGCCTTTTCGAGTAACAGTTGTTCCCGAACTGCCGACCAATCACTTATTTATTCTTGATGTTGACCACAGTTCCGAACGATTGGCGAAAGATCCAGACATTTTATGTGCATTTGCGGAGAAGTTGGCTAATTCGCTAGGGGATCGATTTCCAAAAAATTTGGTTATTAAGTTAGTTTTTAGGGCGCTTTTGGAAAGAGCAATTTTGTTTGAGTTTTGTACATTTTATTTGGTAATGACATGTTATAAAGTGGGAAAATATTCCAATATTTGTAAACTATTACATTTTGAATGTTTTGCAGGAAAATTGAAGCTATTGATAGTGTAAGGCGTCAATCTCGTGTCATGTTTTCAAATAGTTCTTTGTCATATAAATATTGTCAGAAAAAAGCAATTGAGGCAATTAAGCATATTATGCTAACTAGGAGACGGGATCGTATCCGAGCTGAATTTGTTCGAGCAATGGATAGTCGATTTCATGTACGGAATGTGAAATTAGAGTTAAGAGGTAATTTAACATTTCCTATATTTTACTAGTAAAAAATGGATAAAGACTGCACCGTTTGCTCAGACAACATCAGTGCTTCATTCCTCTGTATTTTTACTTCAACGCCAAGTTTTCTTTTCGAAATTTACATCCTGGGATTTTAGCTGTTCTTGTTGATTTAGGATCCTGTATCGAAGAGATGCCAACATCCCGACTTCCAACGAATGTTTCGTTATTCTCAACTACTGTTTCTCCGAATTATGATACTTCATCTGTTCAGCTGTGGTTACCAGTTGCCCTTATTGCATTCTTAAAATTTTTCTTGGCTACACTGGCATTAATCTGCTGTTTGATAAAACGAAAAAAAGCAAAAGCAGGTTTAGATTGTCGACATTTCTATCTTGATATCTTAATCCTTTTTCTGGAACATCTTTTTAGGAAAGTTCGATATCGGAGCAACGCGACTTTATTTCATCATTAATTTGTATTTCAGTTCAATCAGAATACATTTCGAAGGGTTTGCCAGTAGTATTTCCAGAAGAAATCCCACAAGCAGATGAAACAGCAACGGTATCGACACCGATGTTAGTTAAGGAAGAACGTCCACCATTAATCATTTCTCAGCACGAGAATCCTCTTTACAAACCACCTCCTCCGCTTTCTACTGCATCAAGTCCTCGGCCTCGAAATGCATTCACGAATCAGAGACAACCACCGCCTTATGTTCCGCCATAATGTTCGCGTGCATTGTATTAGACCAATTTATCAGCAATTTTTCATCATTAATTTATTCGAATTATCATCAGGTAGATGAGTTCGATGGGTGAGTGTCACTGCTCTATTTTTTATTTTTATGTTATTTGCTAACGTCACTCATAGGTTAAGGTCAATTTTTTCGGCAGATTTTCAAAAGAGATCAAATTCTTGCAACAAATCTTTACTTTTTGCTCTCAGTTCGCTATAAAACTTGTAATTAAAGTTATTGTTGGTGCAGTCATATTTCTTCGCTCTATTGCCCTGTTTCTTGCATAATATCTGTAATATTTTGTTATAACGGAGTCGATATTGAAAAGTGCTTGTCAATTTCCTTATTTTGCTGCAAACTTTTATTTTTTCACATGGTTCAGTGTATAAATCCATCCAAGATAATAAATCTCATTTTGTTGATAATTCAGCCACAGGCTGATTTATCGACAAGCGCTGTTTGCTTTTTGTAACATTTCATTTGTTAGCTGCATCTTAGGATACTGGAAAGCTTTTTTTTTTTTTTTCTCTGGACTGATCACAATTACTAGCAGTTGATAGAAATTATAATCATTTAAGTCAGATATAAGCTTCATCAGATTGTTGCTATAGTCCTTGCTGTAATCTTTTATATATTACCAAATGATTGCTTTATTTTGATTATCAGTTTCTTTTCTCTTTTTTTTGACAATTTAATTGCTTAGAAATTGTTTGCTGAATTTCTTCTACAAATCATTCGTTGTACATTTTTGTTCATTTCGTTAAGTTTTATCATGTGAGTTTGATATGTATGTATATTTTTATAACAGAGCAAAACTAAGATATTTCTCGTTCTTTCTTGCGTTCTAGATTCATGCCTAATGTGAATGTTTGATATATAATCTTGCAGGGATTGCTTCATTTCCTTTTTGTTAAAATTGAAATTGGGAAGGCATTTACATTTCGTTGTAAATATGTGCAACCATTTCTAGTTAAATTTGGAACCATTCATAACCATTTTAGCGCTCGTTTTTTTGCTCAAAGAACATTTTGACTTTTAAAGTCAATTTTTTTTTTTCATTTGAAATCCTTTGAGATTTATGTTTTCGCCTCACTTTTTTTTTCGACAAGTTCGAATCAGCAATGCCTTTGGTAAATTTTATTGTGAAAGTGAAATTTCTCCCTCTACAAAGGGGAATTTTATCGGAGACTCATTATTTCATTTGTGTCTTTTCTGGATCAGGTTAGATTTCAATTTCGAATAAAAGAGGCTTCAGCGATGAAGTGATGCGTAAGGGTTATTGCGCCAACATCCTGGAGTACATTTAATTTTGTTGTATTATTATTATTGACATATGGATTATTTTATCTACTTTTAACATATGAGATTTCTTTTTTTTTGATGGTGCGTTAAGGAGTCGATTATCATTATGATATTCTTTGTTTCTTTAAGGACATACTTCACTAAAAAACGCTTTCTGTTCCACAAATATCGTGCTGTACGTTCTGTTCATGTTAGGAATGAACAAGTTGTAATGCCATTTAGTTTGAGAGAGCATTATTAAAGATCTAAATTTTATGAATCCGACAATTCAATGTATTGATGTTTACAAAAAAAAAAAAAAAAAATAAAAAGAGGAGAGAGTTTGCCATTAAGTGCAAAAAATAAAATTTAGGTTAATATGAAACAATCAGGCATATGATTATTGAATAAAATTAATGAAGAATACATGAGTAATGGATATGCCACAATTAATGGATGAAATTTCAGATAGAGAAAAAAAATTGGTTTGTAACTGCTATTCTCGTAAAGCATTGGTTAAGAGGGGGATAATACAAGTGAGCAGATAGGTTGCAAATGTTGCTGATGCGCTATTTTGCAGCTTTTGCAACAATGGTAAAATCTTGTTGAGACCTTCATCAATGAAAATTTTCTTGACAAGATTCTCCCAGTTATTTTCTTTTTGGTTGAATTCCATTTTAGAATCAAACACCTGTAATTTTCGACTTCAAAAAAAAGGCAGAAAACAAAAATAATAAGAAACGATTGTTATTTTCTTTTTTCTTTTTTTCATCAGTAATTTAATTGCCATTATGCAGAATGACTTGAACAGTTGATGATATTATAAATGCTTCTTTTTTTTTTTTCACAGAGTTGAATAACGAGCAAAATTGAAAATAGAAACCTGTAGCGCAAGTAGATAATGAACGATTATAGTATTTCGTCCCTTTATTTCACTATTAAAGAATTTGCTTTCTTTATTGTAATATTGCGGAAAAATAAAATAAAATTGAAGTAATGCTGTATCAAATATTAGGAACGTTTCAAAAGTTATTCATGAATTTCAATGATATAACTTTTAATCCAATTCACATCAAACTTAGTCCAAGTAAACTTTTTATTTCTTATTGCTATTTGATGATTAAGATAAGCAATAAGCTAGGATTTTTGAAATATTACTAAATCTAAAAGAAAGAAAAAGAAGCTTTTGCAACTATGATTTGTTTTTCAAGCAGAAAATAAAGAGATAGGCCTGATAATCTGCTTATTAGAAATAAACTAGGTTATCTTGAAGGAAAAATAGAAAGTACTTCTGCAATAAGTTAGCAAAAATTTCCTTTTTGTTATTAATACAACTGTGTGTTGAATAATGTTGGAATCTTTGTAAAAAAAAATCCAAGAAATGTCAAGTGATATTAAAAGTGCTAAATTTATCTTAAAAATTCAACTCTTTTAATTTAAATTGGATTTTTTTTCCTGCAAACACACATTTTGAAAAATAATTTTTCATTGTTAAATTCCAGCTAAATGAAATTCCTTCTCAAATATCCATTAATCTTCAAAAAGCTATCATTGTATTTTTTCCCCCCCCCCCCCCAAAAAAAAAAAAAAAAAAAAAAAAAAGAAGAGGAAACTTGCATTTTTTTGGAAATCGTTGATTTCAGAAATTAGATAACCAACTTTATTCAATGTTCCCTTCTGTGCTTCGTTAGCTAGCGATTTTAATTGCGCTATTTTATCTTGAACTGTTGCCAATAAATTCTTCACTTGTTCCACACTTTGTTGTAATTGCTTGAAATTGTTTGATCATTATCATAACATACCTGACCATCACATCCATATCAATAATGATTCTAAGCACGAAATGTTGTAAAATGAATTTAAAAAATGATAAACCCCTTCACATTTGCTTTGAATCCTTCAATATTTAATGTTCTCAATTTTTAAATTTTCTGATTTTTTCCCCAAAATACTTTTGATACTTTTTTAAAATGCCATCATTGATGAATGGATAAATGATTATTTTATTATTTTTTCACAATTGAATTTATTTTTATTTCAATAGCAAGAAAAGAGAAGAAAGAAAGAGAAAAGATGAAACTAACTTTTTCATCCTTTGCAAAAAGTGATTTAAAATCGGTAAAATGTTTTGAAAAAAAATCACCAGCTTCCGACAGTAAGTCACAGTACACACCGACAGTAACAAACACCAGCAGTATACTGTATTTCAACATAATCTTTTCCTCAAACAAAAAAAAAAAATCACATTATTCAAAAAAATACATCCACATCTAGTCATATGACATATATACATACATATGTATTTGAAAAATTTTACCAAACTATATGAATAAGAAAAAAAAGTGAAACATCCAGGAAACCATAAAATTAAGCAATTATTATTATTTTTTATTTTCTCGTTTTTTTTGTCGGAAATAAAAATTATTATAAGTGAATTAAAAATTGAGGAGTGATTTTAAAAAGTTTGATGAAATATGAGCGCATTTTTTTTTTTTTGCATTAAAAGGAAAGAAACGAAATAAATGAAAAGTTCATTTCAATCAGTAACAAACTGTGTATACATGTAAATATACAAGTATAAACAAACAAACAGCTAAATACATAAATTAGTCAGTTAAATCAGCAAATAAATATATTTAAGTGTAGCCTAATAACAATTCAATACTAATTTCAAGTATTTCAATAAGAAATTTCATCGCTTAATATTTTGTGCATTGATCTTTCTTTAAAGTTTTTCATAAAATATATGACAAATTAATGCTTTAGAGGTCAGCGTAAATAAATTAATTAAATTTTAATATCAAATTTAAAAAAAAAAATTATTCATAAATACTAACTTTAAGCCAACTAATTTTTTCAACCACACAATTAATGAGCAGTTGTTTATCAATATAAATTGAACACTACTGCAAAAGTAAAAAGAATAGCGTTAATAATTTTGATCTAATAATATTTATTATCTGTCTAGTGATATCCTAAAACATTTGCTAAATATTCATTCAAGAGAAAAGGATGGAAGTACATCAATCATATCATTTTCCATTACACTTCATCACAATACGAGACTATTGGTCTGATAAATAATTAAGCTATAGGGACTAAATAAAATGTCATAGAAATATGAAGCAAACTTAGGAAAGGTTATAAACAGTTGGCTGATATGATCAATCAAATGCATCCAGTTGATGGAATAAAAGGTTTGATTAAAAGATTAGCGCTATAATGTCTCTCTCAAAAAGTTCTTATTTACTAGTTATCATCAACATTTAATTATAACATTACCTGGGGAAATCCTAGTTTAATCTATTTTAGACCAGGTGCGAAGAACTAGGAAATATCTAAAACTTCAATTTTTTTTTTTTTTTTTTGTTTAGTTTATTTTCTTAATTTGATTTCAAATCAATGCTCAAATTCTATTCCCTCATCATATAACAAAACTTCTCTTAGCTAAACCAATGCATGATTGATGATGATAACGATAATGATATGATGATTATGATGTTTATTATTTTTTCTCCCTTTTTATTCTCAGTCAAAAAAACGAAAAAAAAAAAAAAAACTATGAAAAATATTTTTGCACAATTACAATGCATTAATGTATTCATGAATCATTGTAAGAAATACATATTTCAATTATAATTAATCTGCAGTATAATATTTCAAAAATTTTAAAATATTATAAAAATATTTGGAAGATTAATTCAAAGCATTTAAAAAAAAATGCTAAATGTATTTCAAATTTTGTTGAATCCAGAAAAAATGAAAAAAGAAAGAAATTTGTTTTCACGGCCAAAAAAAGTATTGAAAGAAATAAAGATGTAAAATTTCGTTATTTTCAACAAAATATTTTATGAAAAAAATATCAGCAACTTGAAAAAGATGCTTTTCCGGATAAATCACAACGATTGTTGCATTCTTTGCTTATTTGTTTGACTAGATAAACTGAATTTGATTAACTAAAGTATTACTCCACGTTCTGTCTTCTCTTATTTCTGATGACAAGAAAAAAGCGGAAAAAAAGTGAAAAAAAAATTTACTTAAGCATCAAATTTTATTTGGTTTTTATTTCTGGTATTTTTTTTAGGAAAACCATTCTAAAATTGGAACCATTTCATTTTTTCCTCAATTTTAAATCAAAATGTAAGAAAGAAAATATAAATGAATTTTATTTCGAAAATTTTATAATAATTATAAAAACAGTATAAAAAAAACCGGAGTGAAGAGAACGAGCGAAAAAAAAGGGGGGAGAATAAGAGAGGTCAATTTTGAATTTTAATTAAAAACACGATATTAACCAGCATAAATTAATTTCCTCCAATTATTTCTAAAGCATTTTATCATTAATAAATAATTCATGAACAAAGACTAAGACACTTGAACACATATTTCAAATAATTACTAAAAAAAAATTATGTAGGAAAAGATATGAAATTACTGCTAGGAATTGCAAAGATTGTTAGTGTCGATGTTTTTACTGATTAATTTAATTGTTATTATCAATATAATGCTGTAAATGTCTTTTAATCGTTTACATTTGACAAACAATCAATTTTTTTTCGAACAAATTATTTGTGAATGGCTATTACATGAGCAGTTAAAAAAAAATCTCCAATAGTCATTGAAATATTTGAAAAGGATAATTTCGCGATACTTCAAAATTACATTTCATCATCTTCTATCCTTTTTTTAAATGCTTTAAAGAAAAAGAATTCCATCAAAAAACAAATATCTCTTTCAATGTTTCAATGAAATTCGAAATTTAACAAAAATTTCGATGAGTAGATTCTATCATTTCATACAGCAAATAGCAAATAGTTCTCGTTAAATGCATTCATTTTTTCAAGAATTATCGAAAGAAGGAAAAAACGGAATACAATTAATTCAACCGGAGTAATATTATATTGATATATTGCAAGCAATACTTACTAATGCATCAGTTCATTTCAACAAATCATTCTGCAATGCTTTCATCAATATTGTGACTTGATATTAAACACTAAGAGATAGAAAGAGAGAAAAACAAAAAGAGGGAGAAAGTAATAAAAAAAGTAATAAAAAATAAATAGATAGATAATTCAAAATTATCTCAAACATATTAATAAAATATAATTTTGAGAAATGGTGGATTTATTTGATAAGCAGTTAATATCATTATCAAAATAATGACACTATGCTTTTCTTTAATACATCTAAGCATAAAGCAAAAAAAAAAGTAGTTGTAATATTAAAATGATTAAAATTATTTCCGTTAGAATAAAAAATTATTTTTAGTCATTCAATGTTCTGTAAAAAATATTTGTTGTTAATTTAACAAAATCAATGAAACTTTTTTTTGAAAAAATTTTATTAACAAGAAAGGAAAGAAGTAAGAAAAGTAGAAAAAAGGAAAACCGAAAAAATAGTAAATAAGTGATGAAAATGAAAATAATAATAATAATTATGTGCAGTCTAATTGAGTACCTTAAAACACTATCATCTCGTTTACACTAACTAAATTCAAACAAAAAATTTCATGCACTTTCCTAATAGATCCTGTTATTTGGAGGTGAAAGTAGTATCATTCATGCGAATTGATGAGTAGAAATGATAAGATGATAAATATATTGGAAAAATTATATGCAAAACTAAAGATGTTTACTGTAATTGTTAGATTCACACAAAAAAACAGAGAAAAAAGAAAAATAAGAAAAATGAATAATCAAGCTTCGATTGTATTTTTCGCCATCCAGTTTTGATGAAACATAAATTTAAATGATTTTTCATTGCTATAAGTAATTTTATAAGTGTTTTCGTCTTCTTTTCATTTAAATGAATTGTATTTTCAAAATTTGAACATTGTATTCATTGAAGGGTAATAGAATTATGGAATCAATAGCTGCTGACTGTAATTCAGATTATTTAACAATATTTGTTCATTTACAATAATAGTTAAATGTAGGTCAAATTTGTTTTTTTTTATGTTGTTGTTATTGTTGTTATGATGTCTTAATCTTTTGATAGCTCTAATAATTATTGGTGTGTAAAAATAAAATTTTGTGATTTTTTTTTAATCAATTTCATTTATCATTTGTTTGAATCATAAATTTCATGTAATCGGACTGAAATTCTATTATTTATCGATCGCTCAAATATATGTAATTTAATAAACTGTAAACTAATTGCCGAAAAAAAAAGAAGGAAAAAGAGATAAATGGTATTGTCTATTCAATAAATTCTGATCAGTTAAAGAAGCTGAATTAATTATAAGTAATTAGAATTAATTGAAATTCTTAAGAGATTAAAAAATATGAATAACCAAAAAAATTAACAAGTGTTAATTTTAATGATTTAATATTTGCAATAAATCAAGCCTTAAATACATTTAATTATTTGAAAAAGGTTTTAAGTTTTTAATCATAAATTACATATGATGTAACAAATATGTAAAGCAAATTAATTAAAACCCGAAAAAAATATGGCAACAATGATATGAAATTGAATTTTTTTAATTTACTGAAATTCTTTAAAAGTTCAAGAATTAGTGCTTATTTTTCTAAAAATACTGCACATTTGGTTTAAAATGATCTAATTTAGGATATTGGTAAGCTTGACCAATTTATATTTTAAGATACTATAATGCTTCATTATTAGAGGACAAGAAATTTAACATTTAAAATTACAATGACAGAAGAAATTAAGGATTTGATAAAAGATAATCACTTTTTTTTTTGTTTATTTGAAAATAACTGTTTTGTATTGACAGCAATGTTTTCTAAAACAGTATTAACGATATATCAACAAACAAATCGAAATGGTAAAAAAACGAAAAAAAAAGAATTGAAAAATAAATAAAATGCAATAGTATGATACTGTAATATTTCACCAATTTCATCCTTTCATTTTTTTTTTCCAGTTACGTTGGAAAAAAGTGACCAATTACTAGAAACAATGTTTAATTGCACCTGGAACTAATTTATTATAAAAAGTTTCATACTCATAAAAAATGTCATTGATCGCAATTACCACTTTACACTACAATATTTTAAATTAACAATTGACAATTGGTATTGCTCCATAAAATTTATTACTATTCCTTGTTTGCTAATTTGAAAATTTCATTCAGTAAAATTTGTAAATAAATTTTGTTTTTCTTTTTTCTTATGGAAGAAAACTTTTATAAGAAACCAAAAAAAAAAAGCATAAAATATATCTGTTTAGATGGTAATACTAGCGATATTTTCAATTCAAAAATACCAACGAATCATTGGAATATTTATTTCATCATTGTATTTAAAATATATCTCATATGATAAGGACAACATATTTATTACTTAGAGATAAGTAATTTTGGAAATATTGATTGAGAATTTATTGTGCAAAATGTGAGAAATAGATAGTAAATGGACGTTAAATAGAAAATTAAAAAACGAAAAATGAAAAGTTAAAAGGAAGTGAAATAAAAAATTTACAAAAAAAAATTATAAAAACAAGACAGAATGGGAATGATTCAATCATAAAATCAAAAGGAATTCTTAAAGTTGGAACATATCATATAACTTTTCATTTTACGGCGTTTATTATTATTTGCTATTGCATAATAGCAAATAATAATAATAATCAAACTGATGTTACTAATTCAGGTGTGTAGTGCAGGTAGCTATGTTGGAGATGATAAGTAGTTGATGGTGGTGCTGCTGTTAGTGATGAAAATAATTGAAATAAATGAAAATAGCTATCGGACGATATTGACTTGCAAAACGTTACAATTGTATTATCATTTGTCACTTATTAATGTTTCATCTTTTAATTAGTCTCAACAAAACAATATTATAAATTCCTCTGTCTTATCACTCAATTTACGATAAGTATAGAAAATATGGTTAGTAATTTGATCATCAACAATTGCCATTGCATTTGAAGAAAGTTGTTACAGTATGAAAAATAATAATAATACAAGATTATACTACAATATTTTTATTAACAAAACTGTCAACAGACAGACTATTGATCAGCTAGTAAGTATGAATTAAATGAAAATTTCACTAATTATAGTGAAATAATATTAGTAAAATTTATGATTGTTAAATAATTGCACACATCATTTTGAATTAACAAACTACTAACTAATATTACAGGATACAAATATTTTTGATATAAATTTAATCACTTCCTGAATGATATTATGGCGTGCGAAAATAATTGAATATTTAACGACCAGTAAATAAAAATATGAAAACTTGCAGTACGATGATATATCGTAATTAGTATGGCATAATTTAATTATTGCAATAGTAATAGATTTTATGAATAATATAATGAATTTTATATTTTATTTTTATGCATTAATTTAAGTAAATTCAACTTTAAAGATATATTGAAGTCAGTTGAATTACCATCAGATAAATGTAATTAAATCAATGCTTTTTTCTTTTTTTTCTTTTAAAAAAAAGGAAAAAAAATATCACAGATAAACTTATTTACAAATTTTTAATAAAAATTTTCTTTAACTGTAAAATATATAATATTCTTTTAATAAAGCAATTATTAATAATACTTTATTTTAATCATTAATGATATATAAAATCTATATGACTCGAAAATTTTTAACGGAAAATGTTTTTTTTTTTTTCTTCCGTTTTCTAAAAGTCTTTAATTTGAGCAACTTTTAAGCTGTAAAAAAATAAGTATAATAAATCATTTTCGAGCTATTATTGATTTTCAAACGAGTTTTAAGTGCACTTTCTCTTTCACACCTTTATTTCATTTCATGTTTATTATGATGATTAATATCGCAAAACTAACTATCATTCTCATGCAACAGAACAAATTACTAATTAAAATCAAATATTTAAAAAAGTTAAAATAATTGTTTGTTCATGTTCAAGAAGAGAATCTAAGCAAAAATAATGGAGATGATAAAAAATCAATCATAACTAATACTTTATATAAATTGTAGCTAATTTTATCCAATATAATTTTGGTGAGAAAAAAAAAAAAACAAGGGAGAGGAAAAATAATAGTAATTGCTGATTATTATTCTTTTAAAATATGCAAACACACATATTACTTGATCATTAAATACACATTCCACAAATTCCTTTACTTCAAAACAATTTTATGTTTTAAAATTATCACAAAGAAAGGTCCAACACCTAATAATCTAATCACCTGATAATTGTTAACATAAATGTTATTTACTACAGAAAAACAAGAAAAAAAGAATGCAATATCACTGATATTTATTTCATTACTGCAAGTAAACGTTAAGTAAAAAAAGAGCAAAAGAAAGTAAAGTAATTTTGTTGTTTATGTAAAACAAATTTTTTTTTTCTGAAAGAACATTAGTTATAGAAGTGATGTATATACATACATAGAAATATAATGAGACAAGAAAAAATAAATTGCGAGTGAAAATGAAAGGAATGATATATTTGTTGTGTTCAATTTAGTTAATTTTTCAAATATTTCTAGTTTGTGAAGTTAAAAGAAAAATAAAGAAAAAAAGAGCAAAATGACAAGGATAAAGGACAATGAAAGGTGGGTTAGCATAGGAAGGAGAAGAAATAAATAGTGTAGGAATGAAAGAAAAAATAAATAAAAAAGGAAAAAATATATTAGGTAATGACAAAAATGTTAGTTGATACATTAACAAATGTTTCGAAACTTTATTTTTTTTTTGCTTTTTTCCTCCTTTCTTCATTTATTTTTTCTGTTTCAAAAAAAAAAATTTCTCATGGAAATATTAGAAATTAATTTATTTATGCAATTAATTGCTATTACAATTCATTCGTTATTTGCAAAAAAAAAAAATTAAAAAATAAAAAAATGAAAAAAAAATCATTATCTTTTTCTTATTTACAGATATTATTTCACTATTGCCACTATCAATTAATGTTAGATGTGTTAAAATTTATAGTATCAATTACAATTTATTTATTTTTTAATTTAATTTCTAAAATGAAATGACACTAAATTATTAATATAGTAATTCTCAATAATTCATATTATCGGTAAAATGAGAAAGAAAAAAATGAGCAAAAGATGATACTACATCAAATCTATTTATTTCAAAGATTTTTCTTTATCATGATTTAAGCTCTTTTATTTTTCTTTTATTATATTACATCTTACTTATTTTATTGATAATACTGCTACATTTATATAGTTTGTAATTACCATGTCAATTAATATATTTATTCCAGTGAATTGTAATTGTAAACTGAAATAGGAAAATTTTATTTTCTTAATTTATCCATGTATACACATACATATACATACATTATCAAACAAACGATTAAACAATACAATTTCATATTTTTTCAATTCAAGGAGAAAAAAGAGAAAAGGATGTAATGAAATGGTATAAATTATAATGCTAAATAATTTGTAACAATTCCATAATTGATTTATATTAAATTATTTTTCTTTTGGGTTAAATTTATTATAACACTAAAAATTGAATATATATATATATACATATATATATATATATATATATATATATATATATGTATGAATGAATTCTTTACAAATTTTCTCCTTTTCCCCCTTTTTTTTTCATTTTCTTTTTCTTTCCATAAATTATTGTAAGGAATTATTTATATTAATTCATGTTTGCTTGTTTTTTTTCTTTTCTTTTTAAATTCAATTTATTATAAATTTTACGCAAACATTATCGTTTATTTTATATAAATAAAACCACTTCGTAATGATGAACTTTAACATTTACTTTTAGCTTAATTGCAATTTTTTAAAATTTGTTATTACAAAATAAATTTTCAAATTATTCTCTTTTTTTCTTCCTTTTTTTTTAAAAAAAATCATTCCAAAACTTTCATATATTAATCTCACAGCAAAAAATCAATTATATATTTTTTTTTCATCATTATTATTGTAAATATTGCAAAAAAATATATAAATTAAAATTTATATGGTGTAGAAGGAGATGGTGATGCTGAAAGTCGAAGTTGTGATCGTCGTCTAATTGAGCCTCTTTTTTTACTGGTTTCAAAAAATTGTTTTAAATCTCGTACTGGACGTTGTCTTTCAGCATGCATACCATCAATGGGATTCCAGTCAAGATTATTAGCATCTTCATCCTCATCTGCAACTTCCTCATCCTCACTAACATCTATATAACCTGATAATGAATGAGAAGCTGATGATCGTCTTTGTGGAAGTGTTTCTTGCAATAATTCTTCTTTTATTCGTGATACACCTGGTCGACTTTTTCCTTGTTTCAGAATCTTAATTATTTCATTGAATGAATAAAAAATAATTTACAATTAAATATATATATATATATATTAAAATTTCATCAATTAAATCAATAAAAAGAAAGAAGCAAAAAAACAAAAAGAACAAAAAAAAAAGAAAAAGACTTTTTTCCTTACTATAGGATCAGTTTGCATTTCACTTTCTATCATTTCTACAAGTGGCTTCTGAATAAAATCATCATTGTCAGTTTGAGTGATAGCTTCTAAGATATCATATAGATGAGTTTGAATATCTTGCTCAATTAATCTTACTTCATCCGTTTGTACATCACGTACCTATAATTTATTTAAAAAAAGAATATTTTGTTATAAATTTATTAGTAATTTATAATAAGAATTTTCATACATATTAAAAGTAAATTTAATTCCAAGTATCTAGTATGTTAATGATATATTATATGATATATTGATATATTAATTATTATTATTATAAAACGAAATAATTTTCAATTTTTTTAAAGGTTTTTTGAATAAAATAAGTTTCTGAAATTGTCACCAGTAAAAAATCATATCATTTGTTTTACTAAATTTGAATGCCTTAATATTATGAACAAGTGTAAAAAAATACAAACCATATATTCAGGCATAACTGTAATACATTCACTATCTTTTAATTCGATTATTTCCGTTTGTATAATACTATGAATTAATGTCGGATTAAGGCATTGCACAGCTTCTTCAACCATTTCATTAATTAACGGATCAGTTACAATTGCTGTATCCAATAATGTCACCATTAATGTTTGCTCACCTTTATCATTACTAAAAATAATTCAAATATTAGATTGATTTTATTGCTTCATTCATTGTGATCTAAAATAGTCCAATGAATATTGCATATTTATTATTAGATTTAGAAAATTTTATAAAAATACCAAATACTTACAATGATAAAAGAGAAGTTTGTACACCAGTATCATAGAATACTGTTTTTGGAAGTGATAGTTCAGTTAATGATTGAATTGGCAAAAATTGTTTAGCTTCAACTTGTTGTTGAATAACTTCTTCCACAGTAGCTGTTAGTGTTATTTCATTTAAATCTTTCGAAAACATTTTTGGCATGCCGGATTCTTCATCAATATCTGAGAAAATTGGTGGAATTTCAATTCCACGCGCTACAGCATCTTTTTGTACTTTCGTCAACACTGATGCTCGTCTATTTTTGCTCCAAAACAAAATATTCACAAAAATTCGAAGTAATAAAATGAAATTAAAACTAATTAATATTATTTCAACTAGCTAATAGAAATAATCATTCATTTTGTCAATCAAAACTTTGATATTAATAAGAGAAAAATTTTTCAATTTTTTCAATATTACTGGTAATTTAGAATTTTATTTTATCTTGTCGTGACTAAATCATTCAATTTGCAATTAGAAAGTTTTCAATTTCATATCTTATTATTCAAGAATAATTATTAAATGTATTGGAAATTACCTTAAAAATGATATCAAATATTTAGCTTTTTTATTATTACCCCACATTTGCATCATACCCACAGAAGCTCCAACTGAATCATTTCCTTAAAAAAAATGAAAAAAAATGCAACAATCAGAAAATGGAGGAAAAAAAAAATTAAATTAGGTTACTTATCGTTTATTTAAATCAGGACATTGATCATTAATAGTTCCATTTTTATTGATCTCTTAATTTGGAAAACAATTAGTTACCAGGGAAAGTGCTAGAATTTACCTAGTTTTAATTTAGACTGATATTCGAGAAACAATTTCAAAAAAACTCTGATATAAAAATCTTCTAATGCTCTTTGTATGACATTGATACACATACTGACCATTGCAAGACCAATTATCACAAAAATAAAACACATGATCATCAAACTGAAAATTAAGTTTAATTGAACTTATAAAAAGGATGAACTGAAAATTTTTTCAACTGAACTAAAAAATTGAAAAAGAAGTTTCAGTTTTAGAATAAACAAAGTTATATATGTTTTTTTTTTTCGCACTACATAAAATGTTATAAAAATTAACTCTCTTCGTCGTACAGAAAGATCACCCAATCCAATCGTTGATAGACTGAAAGAAAATTTTTCGTAAAAAATTTTGGTTATCAAAAATAATTCCGATTATTATTAAGAAAAGTAATAATGTCAAATTGTTAGAGTAGTTTTTAAATTTGTTGAACAAATAACCAATGGTCAAATGTTTGTCAATACAATGCACTTAATAAGTGTTAATCGAAAAATCAAATTTTATACATTTACAATTATGATAAATGATTAACCTAATAAACATGAAATAACAGCTTTCTGCATAAGTCCAATCGTGCTCCCAAATTTTAAAAAGTCCTGCACACAAGAATATCCAACTGAAAGTGATCCCAACAGCTAGTGATACAGGTATTCGAGGTGGTGCCATATCGTTTAATTCCATATCATCAACATTTTTTGCATCATCCTCTTTTATTGATTCTAAATTTAAGTTTTAATTCAACAAAAATTTTTTCGAAATAGATTTTTCATGCCAAATTTTACATCACTTCCTTCATACTGGATGCTACAAATAAAATCACAAAAAAATACTATTAAATTTTAAATTATTTTATGCTATTGTCAAATTGATTGTTTAAAGAGTTTTCAAAAATAAAATCAACAAATAAATAATTTGACAAAATTTACCATCAATAAATTCACCGCCTAATTGAAATTTCGGTTCTGGTGAAAAGTTATCATTGGTATCATCATCATTATTATCATTACCAACGGATATGCCACTTTCAAGCTGCACCAAATCATTATTGTTATTTTGTTGAATTGATGTTTTATAATTTATTCTGCCAAATATTCTGCATAAATTTGATGTGAAATGCATTAGTTGAATAGCATTGACAATTGCTTTATATAAGAAATTGCCAAGATCTCGAAGCGTGATAAGCATTAGTGGTATACCAATGATTGCATAAATTATTGTCATAAATCGACCAATTGATGTATTACATGCTATATCACCATAACCTGTTTGAAAAATGCTAAATTTATTTATAAATTTAAATCAAAAATTCACTAATTTAGTTTTTTCATTAAACATTCAGAAGGAAATTATGCTTCATCATATATTATTAGTAAAATTTAATGTAATAAAAATGATTGTTTTTAAAGTTTTTTTTCTCTGAAATCTTTAAAATGTTTGTATGAATTTAAAATATTTGTGTATTGTACCATTAATTTTCTTATAATCTTTCAAATATTTCTTAAAATAAGCTCATCAAATGATAAATGAAAACATGGATTTGTTGCTGAAATTCGATCATAATTTTTGTATTGTCACAATTATTTGTTACTTTAAATGAAAAATTATTACAAATTAAGTAATCGCTTATGTTCATTTATTAATAGTTTTTTCAATCGAATATTATTTGAAATTTTTTTTTCCACACAGAAGAAATTTATTCATAATTTAATGTAAGTAAAACTTTTTATAGTGTTGAAGAAAAGAAAGAAAAAACATTTAAAAAACATATTCATAATTGATTTTGAACAATTATTTCAGAGCAACCATATTTTTTTAATGAAATTTAATTTCCAATATGTTTATGTTTTAGTTCACACTTAATTATTTCTCACATCTTAGTGAAAAGCTTTATTACGAAGCGGTTTTTGATGAATATTTGAGAAAGTGTGTTGAATGATTGTTTCAAATAATTGATGCAGTCGATAATTGTTTATTATCGGATGATTGTTTTTTGATCAGCTGTATCAAAACATTTATCAGTGATTGATTGCTTCACTCACTTTCTATCCGTCATTGCGGATAAGAAAAATGTCTAATTTGACCGAGAACAATTTATATTTCAGCATGTTAAAGTATAGTATAAAAGATTGGGATTAGAACTGTATTATTTATCAGAAATTAATTTTTTTTCCATTCTGCCAGGAATGATTTTATTTTTGAATGAGAACAAATGAAATATAATGAAAATTATAATTGAAATGAGTTAAAATTTGAACTGAATCTACGTTGTTCATTTTTGAAGATTTTTCATTTTTTTTTTCTTTTGAAATAAAGTTTTTTGGTAAATTAAAAGAAAAATACAATCCGTCAACTAACTTATGGAATAATTCAAAAAAAGCAAGGCTAAAACTAAAGTTTTCAAAATTTTACTTCGTCAGGAAAGTTGTTTCCTAACATAACAAACCAATAATATATCGATTTGTTCTGATAAAAACAACACTGTTTACAACGGAAAATTGTAGACATTACTGAATTTTTTTTGTTAAAAATAATAACAAAGTAATTAATTAAAGTTCCATGATTAATATTGATTATCAAATGTTTTATTTTTGATCTCTGACTTCAGAATATATATATTTCAACTAAAAAGAAAAGAAAAAACATAATGTGGTGAAAAATGCATTTTCACATAACCATTTGTTTGATTTATTTAACTATTTACAATAAAAAAAGAAAAATTTATATGCACTGGAAAATTTTTGTAGTTAGATCAATTGAACTGATTGATTGATGTAATTGCAAAACTAACTTTAAAAATAAACTATTTTTAAATCTTTTCTCTTTTCCATAAAATTTTATAGCATAAAACTTTTTCACTGAAAATACCATTACAAATGTACACGTAAAATGCATTAGAAAGAGAAGTGAAAAATGCTAACATTTTTCATAAATTTATTTCTATTTTTCTGACTTAAATTCAATGTTATCAAAAGTTGCAATAATGCAAGAAGATGAACGAAAAACTTTGCAAATACGACTTACGAATTTTGCTGACAAAAAATTAATCATTATATCGGATAAAAATAATGTAATTACAAAGAATGCATTATTATTATACTCTAATTTATGAAAAAAATTCAAATCAACTTTTTTCTTTTTCTTTTCTATTTAGCTTACTGTGATTGAATAAATTATTTGTCAACTACTTGCTAACTGCATGCTATAATATGTTCATTTGCTTGGCGTACTGTGATTCAACTTCATGTTTTATTTGCATTTTTTAGCAGAGGAAAAAAGAAAAAAAAAAAAAAAATTAAAATTTATCTGCAATAACTACAAACGTAAGTTATATCTCATTTAACAAGTTTCGAATGTTATTTTCATATGTAAATCAATTAACAAACAAACATTTCTATGCATACTTTTTCTGACATACAAATAAACCGTTTTTTTTTTTTTTTAAAGAAAATAATTAGTAAAAAAATTAATATTATTTATGCTTTTCAATATTATTTCATGAAAAAATAAAATATTTTTTCTTTTTGAAAAATAAATATATGAAGATGCTTATACAATATTTATATAGTTTGCAGGATATTTTCATGCACTTGGCATGCAGTATGTAAACATTTTAGCAAACTAATCCGATTTATAATTGATGTTATAAATTATGTAAAAATTTAGAAATTTATCTGATATCATTAAACAAAAATAAAAAAAAGGAACAATTTTCTGCTTTTAAACATTTCTATGTTTTCCTCATTAAACCAAATCTAACATCACATAAAATATTCCACTGTTTCGTTAGTTTTCATTAATAACAAAAAACTTTTAAATTGAATTCAAAAAAAAAAAAAAATTTTTTTTTGCAGTTTATTGTTTTTCTAAAGTATATGCTACAAATATATTAAATTACATAGCCTTATCCTTAGCTAATTGTTAAATTGTACTTTTTTTTTTTTTTTTGATTTTGATTTTTTGATAAAAGTAAACCATAAAACTTATATTATTACTCATTTTTGCTTCTTAAATTTGTTTTTTTTTTTTTTTTTTTTTTTATTCTTTGGAATTTAATCCAAACTTTCATCATCTTTCCTTGCTTCTTTCATCCAAGAAATATTCATAATAAGCTAAGAAATAATTAATTGCTGAAGTAAATGTGAAAAAGCATTATGAAATGAATTTCTTTAAATTTTTTAGTGAAAAGAAAAAACGATTTGAATAGGTATGTAATTAAACTTGAATAAAGTATAAATCTAAAATATAAGTATTGCATGTAGAGCAAATGATGAATAGATAATCAAAAAATTGCATGCAAAATGTTTTATTAAAAGTATCAATTAATAAGAGAAAGATTATTTTGTTGACCCGCTTTTTTTTCAGGCTTTGTTCGACACTTTATTTTTCCATTAAATGATTTTTTCCAAATTCAATTTCAAATTTTCTGTTGCGAATGAAAACTAGCTAAACAATGAAATAGTTTATATAACGTTAAAATTGTTTAATGCTAAAAAAGTAGAAATGCATCGTTAAAATTCTCCTCATTTTTTAAATTTAATTGCATGATTGCACATTTGAAATTGTCTTGAAAAAGGGCAAAAAAAGAAAAGAAAGGATAAAATTCAGCTTTTCAGTTAATTCAATTCACATAATTAAAACCTATTTCGACGGTCCACAAAGAAAAAATTAAAAAAAAAAAAAGGAAAAAATGAGCATTTTAGGAAGCAAGAAGAAGTGATCTAGAAAATTTACTTTTATACCTAACAGGCATTTTGCTGTTTAAAATGAAATAATTTGATAAATGTTAACAAAAGCAAAATTCCTACTTTTTTTATCTGAAACCTAAAACAGCAGATTTTTTTTTTTCAAGTTAAAAAGTTGATCCATTATAACTGGATTACTTTAAGAAATTCTTCCTTTTTTTACTATTGAAATAAATGAAACTAGCAGAAATATGAAATACTGCAAATTGACTAGCGAGAAAAACTATTTTGATAATTAATCATTGTTAAATAAATTAATTAATCGATCCAATAATTCAACTTTACTATGTTCTTCTCTTGATATAAAAATGAAATGAATTTATCAGTAATGCATAATTAAATTAAAAAAAATAGATTATCGGAAAGCTGCAATATGTTATTGCTTTCTTTAATTACAAAACTTTTTAAGTTTTAACTTACCGTACATAATAAGACAAAAGTATTAAATATTGATAAATAATAAATTTATTTACTATAGCATTATGGTCAGATATGTATGATGTTTTTTTCGCCTCAAAAAAAAAGACAAAAAGAAATTTAATAAATCGTTGATAAATGAAATCTTATAAAATTTTAATATTTCAACAAATTAAATAACAAAATTTCTTACTTACATGACATATAAATTTTTTGTTTTTTTATTTTTTAAATTTTTTTCTTTTTTCTTGGAATATTTCTCTCGTTTTCACACTTTTTCAATTTCACTTTTCTTTTCTTTCTTGCACCACATCATCATGCATTGTTCCATTATTAAATTGAAAAAAAGACAAAAAAACAAAAAGACTATTTAAGTAATATAAGAAGGTAATTATTCCGACAACTTTATCACTACATTTCTTAAGCATAATAAATTCATGAAACTTTCATATCTGTTGATAAAAGAGAAAAAATTCTATTCTTTACACAAAATTTATTATTATCAAACTACAGCAAAAGCTGTTATTTATCTAATTAATCAATCAGTGACTGAATTTCCCTATGATCACACTTGAAATTTAATACTCCCTTATAAACAAAAGAAGCAATTCTTAAAGCCAGCTGTTTAATTTATTATTTTAATTTAAAACCATAACGCAGTTGTTAATAATTTATCACTTGGCACATACATACATACACATACACACACACATTTTATTATAAATAAAAATAGAACGAATGATACTTAACGTGCAGTAAATTATGATTTATCGGAAAAAAACGAAGAAAGGTTAGGTGTTTTCATTTGAAATCTAAAAACTCACAAAAAAAAGTACAAGCAGTTAAGTAGAAGAAGATTGAGAGAGTAAAGAAAAAAAATATGATTTTTTAAAAATCATTTTCAGATAGAATTATCACTTTCAAATGATTAAATGATAAAATTATCATTTCCAAAATATACTTTTACCAAAGAGTTGCATATTATTTATGCATCGAAACGATAATAATAAGAGCTTTTGATTATGATTTAGCTCTAAAAATAAATTTCAAAGTTGAAAAGGGAATTTCACCAACAAAAGTATTCATGGTAGTAAAAAAAAATAGATATCGATTTTTACTATAATTATAATAATTATTATTATCATTACTACTATTATTAATTAGTTAACTAATTATTATATAATTTTCTTATTCCTTTTTTTTTCATTATCAAATGACAACGAAGTTAACAAATAAATTCAATAAAATTAAATATTGTATTCAATATTCCCATTTTCCAACTATCACCTGTTATTACTAATATCGTTTCGATATTAGTAATAGTATATAATGCAATATTCAAAACGGTATCTTGTTTAGTACTAATTAAATGAAACTGATTCATAGAATAACGTTGCATATTTATTCCAAAGAAATCAGATTTTATGCAAAAGACATATAAAAATAATAATTAGCATGATTTGATATTTTTCAAAAACACTTTAAAATATTTAATCACTTTCGTAGGAATGAATTTATGCTTTGTATCTAATATTTAGCAATGTGCGACTGATGCATATTTTCCAGTGTTGGATGAAAATGTATTTAGAAGATTGCATACCTACCAAATTGTTTTTTTTCTCAGTTTTTTTCATTTTATAGCACTCTAATATATTGATACACGAATTATTTTTTTGCATATGAATAAGTTATAGTTCTTTTTGCAAAAATTATTATATATTATTGGTAATAATCGCTTTCACCAAATTTTTCTTACTAAAAAAAAAATAACTGAAACTTGAAGCATTGATGATTTTCCAAAAAAAAAAAAAACAATTTAAGAATAATATTAAAATAAAAGTAAAGCAAAAAGAAAATAACATTTTATTTGACTTAAAAATTAAAGATATCTTGCTAAATGTTTAAATAATTCACCATTTTCGTTAATTCTTCATTTAAAAAACTCATTTTTTTTTAACATTAAATGTTAAATGAGTTTGTATGAAAAAATTAATCCATTCAGGCAAAAAAAAATTCTTGTTTTGACAATAATAATTATTATTGTCAACAACAATACAATTTTTATTTTAGCAATAAATTTCCTAATTTATTATTTCATAAATGTTACGACAAAGCATTAACTTTTTTAAAACTAACAAACATATTTTTTTTCCTCGAATAGGTAAATGGGAGGAACATGTATGATATAATATATTTTGATATTTACGACTGTTGTATAAGCGAAATCTGAAGTGAAATTTGCACTTCAAAAGTAACTAACGCTAATTCATCAATCATTCATCATTCCTATTTCAACATTTCAAATCTTATCTTGTCATCTAAATAATTAAATTTTATTTTATGTGCAATCGATTATTTTTTAGCAATAGTAATATAGCACAAAATGCAATTGTTTAACAAAAAAAAAAAACGATATGATAATTTGAAACATGATAAGAAATTTTTTGATATCAGATATAAAACAAATGAATTTCCTTTTTTTTTCGTCTTTTAATATATGTGTTTATGTGCTTTATATATATATATATATACCAATATTAATAAAATAAATTCTTTGTTCATTTATCAGATAGTTAAGATATTTAATTATAATAATAAAATTAAATAAAGAAAGAAATCAATAATGAAAAAGAATGAATCAAGTAAGAATATTAGAATATTATCAAATACTTTGCAAATGTAATCATATTAACTTAGAAGGTGGAGAAAATTTTCTCATTCTTTTTCGTTTGTTTTCTTAAGAGATAAAAAAATATTTTTTTATCAGTAATATTTCACTTCATTTGTAAGTATATCAACACAGCAATGATTATTAGTATGAAGGATCATTCGTGTTTTTTCTGTTTTGTTTCGCCTCTGTCAGATATTTCTTTTTTTTCTGTTCTATTTCATATGTATAATACTAAACTTAATTTTGATAAACTAAATGAAATGAAAGAAAAGGTTATTTTCATTTCCCATAGAGGAGAGAGAGAGAGGAAGGAAAAGAAAAACTTGTTTAAAATTTAGATAATTTTAGGATTAAATCTTACTACAATAATAAATAAATAATAATAATTATTATTAATAAAAACTGAATTAAATGAAATCGAAACTCTTTCTCTTATTTATTCATTTCTTTCTTTCTTTCCTTTCTTTTCTTTTCTTTTCTTTTTCATTTTGCTAAAATGATTTTGTTAACAATAAGCGTCAGCTGTATCTATGAGTTTACAAAATCTATTGTACCATAAATCATTTTCCCAATGAAATTGTAAGCAGATAATGAAAATTTTCTCACAACAGCTGACTTAAAAGAAATCATTGAAGCATATAATAACAACTGGACAATCTAAAACAATCTAAATTAATGAATTAGTATTTAAGAAAGAAAAAAGAGAATCAAGAAGGCAAACTCTTACTCAATCTCATACAACACTATGAACCATGCAAATTTCATCACGAATGGAATTATAAATTAAGCATCCTTTATTTTTGCATATAAATGTCAATAAGAAAAAAAGAAAGAAGTTAAATTTTTAGGTTATATTATTTATTTCATTGCATTATTAAAAAGTTTTTAAGAATTATTAGAATTTAACAAAGATTATTTCTATTTTTTGCTTGTAAATTATACTTCCTTTTTTCTTTTTCAATTTGTGAGACTATTGCAAGAAATAATTCTTCATAAATATGAAATGAAGGAAATTGAAAAGTATTTGTTGAAATTTATGAAGTCTTCTGAATTTTGTACAACCAATTTTTCATCATTTTTACAGAATTTTAACAAGCTTAAGAGAACAAACATAATCCTACCACTAATCTTCTCATTCAAACATAGCACTCACTAGACAGAAATTAATTATCAATTTTGTAAACTTTATTAGCATTTTTCTTTCAAACTAATTTCAAAATAAAATTGATGATATGAAATTTAATAAAATTTCAATGGTTTTACTGTCCAACATTTTGTTGGATTTGAGAAAGAGAAATTAATTATCAAATTTAATTAATTAAAAAATTTAAATCATTTGTAACAAAACGACTTTTAGTAAAACTCTGTGCACATTCAAACTGTAACAAGCAACTTTTATTTTGATTTTGTTCAAAAAAAGCATTTGATTTACTTTAATTTCAATAAATTTTAAAAAGTTCGAACAAATTTCCAATTAAGTAATTAAGATAGCAGAAAAGATAAACAAACCGATTGTTGTAAGAACTGTGCCAGAGTAGTATAAAGCAGTTGTAAGTGACCATTCTGATTGATTATTAAACGAAACACCAATTTGCTGATGTAAATAATCAATGGCTTCTTTTAATAGATGCTTTCGTTGTTGTGATGTTTTAATACTGTATATTTCATCAAGTTGTTCCAGAAATAATTCTCTTTGATGAATGTAAAATTTATATTCGTTCAGTTTCCGAGCTTGATCTGATGCACCCTCAAGCCAAAGGAATAATAATGCTCCAAGGAACATATAAAACATCATAAATGCCAATGAGAATAAATAATCGAGATGAAGAAATTTGTACCATTGTTTGATCCGTTTTAAGCATATATTTGATATAGGAGTTATTGTCTTATTAGCATTATTTATTATTTTATTAGAAGATGAAGTGGATGTTTCCCTGATAACTGACATTGATGGCATATTTGAGTTTTGTTGCTTACGATCATCACAGCTTTGACGAGATGAAACAGAGTAGGATCTAAGAACAGCCTCTGAACGTGATGAAGTAATTGCTGATCGACTATCCACATTAGGATTATTACATGCAAATGATGATGATGCTAAGTTACAATTGCTCGTTAGCAAAACCGACATGATGTACTGTACATCCTCTATGTGACTACAGGAAGATGGTTGCTGTTATGAAATAAAGTAAAATCGGTAAATATTGATAAATAGAATCAGAATGAAAATTGAGATGTCATTTGGCGCGTAAGAATGAGGTAATTCAGGTAGATTCGAACAATACGGATCAAATGATACAATGGAAAAATTGCAATTGTGCTGTTTGGAAGGAAGGAACAGAAAAAAGCAAAGAGGAAGACAACGTAAACTGGGAAGAACAAATGGTGTATGTAAGTCATCGACAAGAACACATGAAGCTTTGTTGATATTACCAAAGCTTTGGATCACACTCAAGAGTGTATCCTTGTTATGTCTGTGTAGTGAAAAAGCACTTGTTTGCACCTTTATTCTTCAAAAACCTTGCAAAGCAAAACTGAGTCAATAATAATATATTATAAAATCATCGCCATAAAAAAACTCCTTCTATGTCAATCAAAATTTGAAACAATAACCAGTAACAAAGAGACACAAGAATCACAGATTTTCCATTTCATTTCAATCGATTCTCGATGTAGTCAGATGAAGGCCAATCGTGTGTTCGTCCTGAAGTATGCTTTATTTGTTTACTAGCATAAACATCTAATACTAAAGTCTTAGCTCTTCGCAAATTTTCAAAATAATAAGAAGAGCTAAGCTTACGTGATAAAAAGTAGTTCACCTGACTACAGACAGAGATTTAACCAATAACTAGAAGCAAAAGATCAGAACATCAGTCAATTGTCTTATTACCAAAGTAAATTACCTTTAGTCTCGTAACAATAAATGAGATTTTCAATTACTGCTAATTCATACGAAACGATCTTTAGGTGCTAAAGTGTATTCTTAGAACCGTTTCAAATCATTTATTTCTCAGGACACTGAAGTCAACTGATATTCAACTCACTCACATGACTGTGCTCACCATTTATATGAATGCTTCCACATAGAGGTGCAGGATGAATTCTGCCCTCTACTTCCTCTAATCAAGTTCAACCAAATTAATTGGAGAATTTTAAATTAATTGGAGAATTTTAATTGGAGAAACAAATCCCACAATAGGCCGAGTTTACGGAACCACTACTAATCATCATGCACCATGAAAAATAAAATTTCATAATAAGCCACGGTTGAAGGATAAAAATTCATATTACCGGAACCTAATAGAAAGCTAATCAACCACAAAAATAATAAAAAACAAGTCCCAAATGGTTAACATTATATATAAATAACCAAAAATGTCAGAATTACGATTTTTTTTTTTCTCCAAATTCCCTTGTCTTCTTTCCATAGCATTTAATTTCCTGTGAAAGTAGAAAAAGCTATTGCTAACTCTCAATAATAGTATTAAAACATATAAACGTTAGTTGAGAAACTTGGAAAATGCAGCAGAAAGCGATCAAAGTACGATACAAGAGATAACCTTTATTAATAACAATGTTCTCCCATTTTTATTTTTCGTCTTCATTTTCCTTTCACATTTTCTCTTGCTAACACGTGATTCCCCTATCAGAAAAATACTGGCTAACGTTTTAAAACACATCACAGATTCGATGTAAAATGCTTGAAAACTCGAATTCCGTTGACACCTGTCTCAATGTTATACCACCTCATCTTTCCCTCTTCACCTCGACATATATGTCCCTCACACCTCTTCCATTCCTTCATATTGGAAATGAACTATGTGATCAAAAGGTCCATATACTACGCTTTTCATTTAATCACTTATAATTTACCAATAATTCTTACTATTCCAGAGCTACTCGCATATAAAATTTAAAATTTCTTTAAAAACCAATTGATACCAACTTCGAAGTGATAAAAAAATGGAATATTTAAAAAAAAAAAGAGTTAAGAATTCAGTTCAAAATATGATTTAATAATTACGTCTAATTCTTCTTCCCTCTTCTCCTTCTCTTTCTTTCTTCATTAATTGAAAATCTCAGTCTGTGGAGCTGAAGCGGAGAAAAAGTAAATAATAGAATTTAACCTTCTGTATACTTTGTATAGCAAGATTTTTTCCCAATAATAATAAAAAAAAAAGTAGCGAAAGGTTGCTAAGTAATAACTATACTTTAGGTGTTATACTTGATTTTCAAAAAATGTTTCATGTTGGAACAAGTATGTCTAGTTATCATCACTATGCAGTAATTTATAAGAAAATAAAGCTTTATCAAAATCAATTTCTGTAAGGAAGTAATATTATGATTTGGATGATTCATCTATACAAATTTTCGCCTCAAAATGACAAGAAAAATTAAAGTAAGAATATAAAATCAAAAATTTCGCATTATATGAAATCGAAGTCACCCAACCTTCCAAAAGATGTTAACAAAAAATTGATAAGCAAGGTTACTACATACAATTTTCTGTTTACAGTGAGTATCGTAAAACTGTCTTAATAAAAATTTGACCATCAACTGACTCTTCAACAAGAGTAGACGAGTCGGTATATTAGTAAAAATCAGTACTGATCTTAACCAAAATGTATGGCGTCAGTTAAAGCAGACGCATTACACTATCAGATATAATGACTAAATAATCTGCCAAAAAAGAAAAATTGAAGTTTATAATCTGTTAACTTAGAGATTTATTCTCAATAAGGTAAATAAAATATTCGAAAAAAATTACAATCCGCTTCCAAGTACTGAACTATATTTGTACAATATGTTTTTATCAAAAGTCCCCAATAAAATCACTCAATAATAATGCAATGAAATGAAATATATGTTATCACTTAGCAGGAGAGAAACTTCCCAGAAAAATCGACAAAACTTAACATCAAAGACAAAACAAAAAAAAGAAAGGGAAACCAGGGCATGGATTTCAGACATTAAGTATTGAGAAAATGATGAACAGACAAACACATTTTACGCAATAGCTGTTGTATGATGAACTGCCAAGAATTGAGATACGGAAAATTAATAAAAAATTTGTTCTGTCAATTCTTTTTAAAGGTGTTGGCGTGATTTTATGTTGAGATTAACATCTATAGCACTTACCAACGACAGTAAAAGCAATTGGTTTATTTCGGAAAACGCGCGACGACACTTCCTTTACTGCCTTTGCTGTGACTGCCTAGGAATAATTAAAACTTTCAAACTTCGGTCACACAAAAAAGTAAATCAAATTTGCAATTATTTTTCTCAGATAATCATTTGATAAAAATAATAATAATAATAATAATATAAAAAAAAGGTAATGAATGGACGAAAAATGATGGAGCTAGAAGCTCTGAAAGAGTGCTAAGCAACACCGTGGAAAAATTGAACAAAGCTCGAATTCAGTGACTAAATAAGTGTCATTCATTCGGATAACATGATTAATAAAAGATAAGCAAGCATCCTTGAAATTCGTCCCCAATTAAAATTAAAGAAATAAAGATTGAGCTGAGAACATCACAGCAAAAAGTAAACAGCATAAAACTGAAGTTATTGAAGAACATAAACTGACTAAAATGATACGTTCATAAAACCTCAAAACATAAAAGACTGCTTACATTGATTCGCACTTCCAATTCGTGAATAGGTATTCGTCTCCCATAACATAACAATTGCCTGCAAATAATTTAATACTATAATAGAAAAGATAAAAAACCTCTTAGTAGAAGAGATAAAAAATAAATGCTTAACCGGAACTCATATCATTCAATTACCAATCTCTTCCTTCTCACTGCAAAAACTCAAATATGAGTAATAACTTCACTTCACAACATAAGACGATGAAAATAATCATAAACGTCTTAATCATATAACCATGATCATTACCAAGAACAACACTACTGCACATAAATTGTACAACCAACTCTTTGCCTCAACAAGATGCTAACTTATTTTTCGGGAAACTACTTAGGAATATCAACACCTGGAAAACAAACTGACCAAGGTAAGATGCAAGAAATACTTCAAAAATCTGAGGAAAATTTGAAGTGTTGGAAAGGGAAATGTGCCTCAAAATTTCATAACAAAAGGAAGATAAAAACAATTTTGTCCGATAAAACTTAACTTGATAGAATTTTATTCAAATTGACAGAAAAGTTGCAGAAATTCTTTATCAATAATTGTACCCAGAATTAATATCGAATCAATTAAGCCGAATCGCTCAACACGCTGTTATCTCATTCGTGATGTTCTTACAACAAAACTCGGCTTTCAAAACTGTGCATATCTTTATCAGAAAAAGGAAAAAATCTAGTTTATCACCAAATAGCTGGAACATCTCTTTCTCTTATTTCAGAAAATTCATATAGCGCTAAAGATAATCCCTGTAATTTATATTATTTTCTGCAGAAACAAATCATAAAACATCCGGATATTTTTTTCATCATTATTTTCCACTTTTCGAATTTAAATTTTAATGGCAAATGTAAATTAGAAATATATTTTTGATCTTTATCTTATCAGTTTTTATAGGAACGCTTCCATGAAATGAAAACCACTCCAAAATACAGAGACTGAACTATAGGATGCAAATATAACAAAGATGGAACAATTTTTTAGAAAATGTCCATAAGAGAATGATAAACTAAGGATTCACTACCTTCCAGAAATTATGTTCAAAGCATTACCTTAGAAGTTAGATCTGTGCTTCGACGGTAGACAGTAAACGTTCATCTACAGCAGAAGCAATACCTCGGCTTACTTCGTTTAACATTAGTTGCGGTAAAGATGGTTCACTAAGTGCTTTGTGCCGTAAAGTAAAATGACGTTTTCGGTCTTGGAAGATGGTATTTTTTGGAAGAGAATTGAAGACAGTACGTCGGAATGCTCGCGACAGAGTGAAATATATAAAAAAATTAGTAGCACTAGATATGACAACGATGAGGTTACTAATATCGACAAAAAATGTGGCGGTGGTAGAAACAAGAAATTCCGAGGAACTAAGGATATGTTCCGCTAAATCTAAAGCAGTTGGCATTAGGCGTGAAATTAGAAATTTAGCCATCACAGTGATGAGAACAAGTTCGCAGTCTGCACTTTTGAAATGGGTGACAC